TGGATACGAGTTTGCGCCCCAGTAGGTATCTGTCACTTGGACGTGATCTCTCCGAGATTTAATAGGTGCAATCATCTACAATAGTGGGCAGTCGTGCTACTGTGGGTTTAATTTAGTCCATGCATCCTCAGGAAGATATTCAATATAATATGCACAGTTCTCTACTAATTGTGTTAAGGTCTGATACGCTACTGTCTCGGCGGCCACTGCTCATTCCCGAGGCCGGCCTTCAATAAGCCCTAATATGCCCTGAATTTGTCAATGGTTCACATAGCCGATAGGCTGGGCGCCGGTTATTCAGTATCTATCTGGTAACGGAGCCAGGGTAACCATCTCAACTTCAATGTATCTCAATACTCAGTAGCCCAACCAGCCATCATGAATAGAGGAATCATATATCCTTCTGCTTTCAGCCAAAGCATCATGTCCCGGTTGCTCTTTGTATTTCTTTCCATCGCATTACTCGAGAGATAGTTAATATCGCAACATACTGTGAGATAATTAAAGTAGGCTATTATAGGTATCCACAACTTATAGTAATAGGTAAAGCTTAGGGATTCATCTGGGATCATGTGTAACCCATCTACATTATGTTTTATGTTTATAGTATTGTGCCGTTATTCCAAGCGAATTTGATGCCTAGTTTCCATATTGCTCATAAATCAATTCAGGAGGCGTGTATAGAGATCATGTATGTCATATCTTACTCTTAGGGTGCAGCCGCCCATAGCCTCATTCGGACAGCAACAGGAAAAGCGCACTTACCTGTTATGTTCGCTTGCTCTGAATATCAATGACCATTTATAACACTCTGCTTGCCAAGCCAGGTCTGAAATATTGACGAATGCGATCCCTCTTGAGATACCATCTAACCATATTGATCCTGGTTATGGACCCCGCATAGGCCCATGAGGTTTTACAGCATTGGGCGGCTGTTGCGTATTACTATACGCAGAAGATTCAAGTGGTAGTAAGTGAAATATCTTTGTATGGTTAGAAAGAAGAAAAGGCTCCATGATGTGTGCAAATAATCGACTTTTATGGCTCAAGTTCAAGTTTGGACAGGGATCGGTGGAAGCACAGAGATGACTCACCTATTCGTGCGCAAGGATATCAGTTCTAATGAGCAACCAGCGCAACTCAATCTTTCCAGCTTAATTAGTGTGCAAATTAAGAAATCAGAGACTCTAATTCAGGCAGCAAAAATGGGGCATAATCAAGCTTCAGAAGCCTTGGCCAGGCCTGGCGCAGATTTGAATACAGCAGATGATGGAAGGGCAACGCTTCACTATGCTATGAGCGGGGTCGATGAATACATAGCTCAAGGTGTAGTAGGCCTACTCGACAGTAATGGGTAGACACCACTACATGTCGGTACAATGTCCAGATCTGTTGAGATGGCGAGGGCTAAGAAGGAAGAGGAGAGAAGGAAGAGGAGAGAAGGAAGAGGAGAGAAGGAAGAGGAGAGAAGAAAGAGGCAATAGCAACAGCAACAGCAACAGCAGCAATGGGCCATGGCCCATCAAAATCAGCCGCTGCTCGCGCAGGTCTTAAATGGCTCTATTCAGGACCAAGCAGTACTGGGACCAAGCAGTACATGCTGCCCAGGGTAGTGGAGGGGAAACGCCTCTCGATCACGCTGCAGAGTATGGAAATACCGGAGTCGTTAGGATACTCCTTTATAGCGGCCTAACAAATAATCTCGAGACTAATGGCAATCAGGCTATTCATCTGGCGGCCATTGGGGGATATTTGGAAGCCCTACATGCAATGCTGTCCAATAGCTCTGAAGGCATTACTCTCAGTATGGCTGTCATCCCCAACAGGCGATGTCCTTCCAAAAATAAAACTAAATAACCTTGGTATTTTTCTCCAGAGATGGGGAGGCATTTCACGGAGCCTTTTCATAGACCATATTAGATCTATAAATACTGGTCTTAAAAGCAGAACCACAGAAAGAGCATAAGGCAATATATCGCTGCGAGTAGACATTCCACCCCCAAGGTATGGTGGGGGCATCCGTACTTTGAGATCACCCTAATCCACGAATTCCTAGAGTCTAATAGTCGTGCGTCAGATACTTAAGATATTTACTATTAAGTTCTTTTCCATTACATTCGCCATTCGATGTCAAATTGGCAAGGAGCAGGCATTTTGGATTTTCATTTTTTTTTTTTTCTCAGCGATCAATAACGCATAGAAATAGACTTCCAAAGCCCCAAGTTTCCTGAAGCCTGTCCATACTTTTTTGGTTTGGTTTCAATGAAAGAAAACCCAATTTAGATTTTCTATTATTTTAGCAGTCATAGCCGTAGAAAATAACAACGGGTCGAAACCTAGAGCTCAACGTGTTGTTCTCTAACGCTCAATGAATTGAGGGGAAAGAGGAGCTGCTTTGGCGCCCATCTGTCAGCCCCGCAGATTCTCCTGAATTACTCCGTACCGGAAGAAGAGCGCCCAGAGTTGGAGTGGGGATAGGTAGGGCGCCATTTACTATTAGTCAAGTTGACGCCGTGGGTGTGGGTCCAACAAAATGGTATTTAATCTTGAAGCCGAGGGCGATTCATGGCGGCCCAGGTGCAGGAATTGATTTGAATCTCTGCTACCTAGGATATATCTCTCCAAGAGGAGTATAATATAAGCCGAAAACGATAGGTCTATCGTAGGAAAAGAGAATTCTCGATTGGTCCAATATCTGGCAAAGATGACTATTGTATCCATTAGTCGGCCATCTCACCCACACGTCCTCTCTTAGTTACCAGGGTCCAAACACTAGCTCCTCTGAGATCAATTAGGATGTTACGGTAGAAATAGAGCAGACTTGATCTACTAGTAAGTAAGGCTACAATTGAAACTTGTCCTGTCATTCGATTGGCTTGTTACTACCGAAACTCCGTTTTGTCTCATCGTGGTTGTATCTTGCCTAGATGGGGATTCTTCGGCCAATGAAGTACCTTATCCCTCTCAACTCACTAATGGCACCCCAGACAATACCAGTTTCCCTAATTATGTGCTAGCTTAGTTTCTTTTCCGCCTACTGCCCAGCGCTTTCTCCTGTGAAAGACGCCATTGGGTGACTAGGCCATGTCAATGATTAATTTGTGTGCACCTCCTTCCACCCATGGTCATCTAAAGCGCATGGAGTTGCTTTTTGTCCTCTTTGACTGACATCGGAAGTTTCAGGGACGCTGTAGTTAGTTTAAATCAGTCCTATTCTTTTCTTTTTAATATCTAGGTGACGGTGGACTACAACGTTATATTTTCCCAGCACAGATACCTGCGGATCGTCATATTTGTGCTGTTTACCCTATTCATGTACTTTGTTCTCTACGCCGCACGTGCTCTAGAAACTAGACTTCAACTTCCTCTTCCTCCTGTTGCTGCAGATGTGGAAAAATTTCAAGAGGTAGCGCCACCTCTTCCTTCTGTATACGTCGATCCCCGCACAATGCTCCGTCTGTGAGGATGTGTTCGGCACTGCACGTCTCGAAGGTATGCGCAACTCCACTGCAGGGGTATTGCGCTCCACAATCGCAATCGGCTTTAACCTGCTTCCACTCCCAACCCGACGGTTCGCGCATTGATTCATTCTTCCTAGCTCAGGGTGCTCGCTTATACAAGTCAACAAAAGTTCACCTTAAATTGCGAACTACAGGAGCCGTCCGTATCAGGTCCCTCTTTCAAGACTCCTTAGTATGGTCACCTCAAGAACTATTGGTATGGCACTGGCCCGGGTGTAGTTCTTGACAGATTCATAGACCTAGACGGAGGCTTGGACATGGACACGGATATCCCTCGCCCGAGTCCGAACTTCACAATACTTCTGAACAGAGAAAATGTGACAAGTCTCTGGCACTCGCTAATGGAAATCTTTTTCATGGCCATGACGATAGACGTTCTACAGATAAGCCACAATCCAAGGAGTAGCAGGGCATTCTTCACACCCGCTGATATCTACAGTACGCAAATATTGGTCGTCGACGACTCCGAGAATGGTCCGTTCTTTGACTTGTAATCACTTTTCGCAAAGAAACCAGTCCTACGACTCAAGGATTTCATGCTAGATTTATCAACGCGCCCGCGTAATCTAATCATCCCTCTTGCCGGTGGAAGCAAACCATTATGGATGGATGACTGGGAAAATACATTCGTGCGAGGATTCACCCTTTGTGCGCGTATTTTCCGATCGTGTTCAAGTCTTTATGAAGTCGGAAGTAACCCGCCTCACGGTCCAGATATCGTAGTGGCGTGTATAAATCGAACAGGCAGTCGGAGGCTTATCAACAGTGAGGAATATTTCCGAGAAGTCGAGGCCACTTCCCCCACGTCAAGTTTCAATCAGTTGGCTTTGCGACCATGTCTTTCAAGCAGCAGCAGGAAAGTATCCGAGAAACAGGCATGCCCTCGTTGGGGTACATGGGGTCGGATTAACCCATGGTATATTTCTACCACATGGCTCCGTCATGGTTGAAATCCTGCCTTCTGGGTCGGATCATAAGGGCTTCCGTAACGTGGCCTCCTTACTAGGGCATTCGTACTTTAGCACCCACGCTTCTCATGGGAAACGACGCGATTAGCATGATGAGGATATCTTTCTTGCAAAGGAGAGGTTTATAGATCTTATGAATGTCGCAATCAAGGCAATGTCTAGCAAGGGAGAAAGAGATTATGATATCAAGTAATGTGTCTTGAACCTTCTTAGGATGTGTTGCCTTATGTACTTTAATACGTATTATGAACTTCATATTGAAAGAGAATCACCTATATTTAGCGCTATGGGAGTTTACTAAGTACATCTAATAAGACATAGCTCGCCAAGTTTCTTGAAGTATTAACCTGAAACCAATAAGTTTCCAGTGTGTTCTTTGCCCAGCTTGAGGCGTTCGCGTTGACGACAGAGAACGCAGGCGAAACACTAAGCCGAAACAATATGTGAGTATAATTTCTATATTGTAGGTATATAATACAATAAAGCCGCTTTAGTCATGAAACATGATTGATCACTCTTCCGTGAACCTGTAAGCATCCGCAGTCGAATTTTTAAAGACAGCTTCCCAGTGCTTCGTAATCGTCTTACATAGCCCGGATTTTTTCTTCCACGTATCAAAGCCGTGCTCTAGGGTGCAGGTCACAGTTTTAGCCTCCTCCCAGGCCACTCTTTCCACATCATATCCAATGCGTTTAAGTGTCTCTTCTTGGTGGGTCCACAATCTACTGGGATTACCCTGGTCGTCCTCCGATTTTTCATTGAAGAGGCCTCCTCCAGCATTAAACTTTGGGTTGTACGCATGAATCCAGAAACCCCGGGGAGCTTTGGCCACCGACTCATCACGCACTCGCCATTTACCCTGGCGTGTGAGTTTGTAGTCCTCGACGGGATCAGCTTGGAGCATTGCGGAGCCCAAGACACCCCCGTCCTCCGCGGGATGCCCCAAGTCCGCCACTTTCTCGCTAACAGTATAGAACTTCCGACCAAGGGCAGATGCTGCTAAAATGAAAGTGTCCTTGTCCCCTTCTCCAGGTGCGCCCTGGGAGATCATCGTGTAATAATATTCGGCATGAAAGTTATAGTAAGCCGCGAGCAGAAGCGTCATGAAATGTTTCTTTTTGGAGATGAGAAACATGCCAGCCTCTGTACTTTGCCGAGTTGTTGTGGGTATCTCAGCTTGACGAGAGATGTTGTAGTACGATGGTGATATAGTATACGCCCAGAAGTCAGGCCAAGTGACAAGGCCGGTAGATGTATAGGGTTTGGAAGACAGTAACTTGGTGGGATCATGCAGGAACAGGCAGTCTGAATCCATCCAGATAACATCCTGGAATGATGAGAACAGAATGGCGAATACTTTAAGCTGAAAATGCTCAAGGTTGTTTTCACCCCCATCTGGCTTTACCAAAAGCTCCGAAAGCACCACGCACTTAGCGTTGAGAGGAGGCAGCACTATCTCGCATATGTATGGTTCATACTCGGTCCAGTCTTTGAGAAAGAGCTCTACTGGCAACTTTGCGCCAGTCCGTCGCAATAAGCGCAGAAATACCACGAAGGTAGGCAGGTATTTACCTCCCGCTGAGGACACGATTCCCTTCGTCCTTGGGGTATAGGCTCGCTGAAGCGTCGTGTTTTTGATGGCTCGAACATATCCATCATGTGCTAACTGCATCGGCGGCTCAAAGTCTCCAGGATCATCGAGGTAATTCTTTTGTGGCGTTCCGTTGACTGCATCGAATCTTTGCAGCCCTGCACCTACATTTCCACGGAGTTTTGGCGGGGAGCATCGAGGTACATGCTCCTCGAGTAAAGGATAGAGGTGAAGTGCAAGCTGAGATTGGGCGTCCCGAAGTGACATGCGGCTCAAAACGTTAAAGTACAAATTTCCTTGCCAGAGGAGATAGATCTGTAAGACGATGGCGGCCGCCGGAAATCTCACCACGACTTTCCTTCTAGTGCCTTGGTTTATAGATATCATGGATTTTATGAATTTCCGCATCTTGAAAGCTGCGGCTTCAAGACTCAAGTCATCAGATTCAGCGATGGCTAGAGCAGCATTGAAAGGGTCCTGCCAGGTTCTTGTATTATAAAGCGAAGAACCCCAGGAGATTCATCCGAGCTGTGAGGGGCGGTAACAGGGATGCATGCGCGTCTAATTCCCCCGCGGTCCAGTGTCTCGTTCTTTGGCGTTAATGCCTCTCATGTGGCCAGAATCAGATCGTCACTGTGCAACATGTTCATCGGTGTTAACCCTATAACCTGTTATGCCTTCCAAGGTTCTCCCCATCAAGCAAGGTTGCCTCTATAAATAAATAAGAATACATACATGCATCCAGGTGTCATCGATCAGGCCAATAGAGGAATGGCGATAAGCGCCCAGGTCCTCCCACAGGGGAAACTGCGCTGAAATGATGGCGCCTTAATTAGGGCAGCGGCTAGGGTTCTTGGCGGCTACCGGCCGGACGATCACAATACTTTGGACGCCTTAAAAGGTCAACCTAAGCAGACTAATGTTAGGGCTAATGCAGCTTCAAGTCACTCGACCTAGCCTATCACCTCCAGCATCTAGTGTTGAGCCCCCAACAATAGGTCCACCTCAACGACAGAAGGATCAAATTTAAATGCAGTTACGGTCGGTAGTTGATCCAGGAGCCATTTCCCGCCAGACTGAGTAGCAGATCACCCGTCGGTCACATCCACATCGCGAGTATATATGTACAAGGTGGGTCAAAAGTCTGATTACACTAGCGTGTTCCCGCGACGCGTCGAAAGAACTCACCTTTTTCAACCACCCGCTATTACATCAAAATGAGGGCTTTCGGGACGGAGATAAGTGGAAATCGAAGGCCCAATGCAGAGCTTTCTCCTGAGACTCGAGCAGCCATTTTATCTGCTCTAGGAAACAAGGCATCTCTAACTTAATTGGCTAAGCAATTTGGTGTCAGTCGCAATATAATCTATTCAATAAAAAAGTGTTTTCTACATAATTATACCTTGCAATCACTTCCTAGAAAGGGGAGGCCTGTAAAGCTTGATCATTCTACTGAGCGCTATATCTATTTATTGGCTCGCCGGAGACCAAAACTTAGCTATAGAGCCCTATGTGCAAATAGCGATTCTGGGGTCTCTGCCTCAACAATTAAGCAGGTTCTTAAGCGATTTTATTTAAAAAAATAGAAAAGCAAGAAGTGTATAGCTCTAAGGCCTGAGGTAGCCAAAAAGCATCTTCAATTTGCGCGTGTGTGGCTAAGATATACTAACTGGAATAAAATTATGTTTTCTGGCAAATACTCAGTGCAGAGAAAGTCTAATTCCTTTACTTAATATATCTTTCGTTTCTTAAATGAAGCCTACAGGCATGATCTAGTGAACCTAATAAGCTCTGGAAAAGATATTTCCTAAATAGTATAGGGTTCTATATAGCTAGATGGCCGATCTGATTTGATCATTATAGAGCGGGATGAATTAGCTTGCCGGGGCAGTTATTCAACGAAATTATATATTACTTGCTTAGAAAAGGGCCTCTTACCAATCTATGAGCCTGGCACTATATTTCAGGAGCATAATACAGAAATGCACGTTTCAGCTGAAGCACAGGACTGGTTTGATGGAATTTGGGTTCTGGATTGGCCATCTTATTTACCTGATTTAAACCCTATAGAGCGTATCTGGGCCCTGCTTAAGCGCAAGCTTTTGGAGCTCTAACCTATGCTCTTTCTAGGGGGAAGATCAAAAATTGACTGGACGCGCTTTAGAAAGCATATTCAGGAAGCTTGGTGGGCTATATCCCAGGAGGTAATAGATCGCTTAATTCGACCTATGCCTCGTAGACTTCAAGCTGTACATCAAGCACGTGGCTGGTATACAAAGTATTGAATGAGGAACCTATAGAACTCATTTGTAGATTAAATCCATTTGAATTTGCTGAGAAAATCGATTTTGAAGTTGTTCCGTTTTTTGATTTTTTTGAGTGTAATCAGACTTTTGACCCACTATTGTACTTCTAAGTTAGATTTCAAGGACTGCTAAGAGTCTTCAACTAGCATGTCGAGAATTTACCGAACGCTGTACTGGTTGCCATAAAGTACCCTCGGGAATCCTCTTAAGCGACAGTGTGAGTGAGACAAGGCTCATCGATCTAAAATTTCAGCGAGACTAGAATATCGCTAAGATATTAGTAATATCTTAAACGAGTTCGAACTTCCTACAGTTGACAGGTATATTTATAAAGGTCGCTGTATATTCTGTGCTCTCTGACTGTTAATTCAGAGCGAAATCAACTCTCGTTATCCTGCTCATATGGGGAACTGTCCAAAAATAATGACTGCTAGATATAGCGTGATAATAGCGACAGCTACAGCGCCTTCGGGGGATGGCTTAATATATGGCAAAAGCCTGACTGTGAATGAGGAGTAGTTTGGCTTGTCATGTCGCCATCGCGTACCCTGTCACTATCTCAAGGATCTCTTAATACATGACTCCACAGCTGAAACGTTTCTAGAAGCATGTCGGAGATAGGAACTCGGAAGTAAATAATAGACTCAGTCTACCTAAGCTGGCACAGGAGGTCGACTGTCCCAAGTTATGGTGAGATTAAATAGTATATTGATAGACTTAGGGTGGAGTCTCCGACCTTAAAATAGAGGAACCTTGTCGTAACCTGGAAGAACTTAGAGCAGACGAAGAATTCCTGGATGGTCTGAAAGCAAGATAGCAAAAGTTGCGAGCTTCCATCAGTACTCGTGAAGACTGTATTGCAGATCTAGAGGTCTACTGCGATTTAAATGTGTATAGGTTTGGCGAGATTTGGGTATATTCTGGCGACGTCACTGGGATTACGATCATAGTTATGGACTAGGTCCTTTTAAAGCCCTATCTATCTCGAGCTTACCTATCTAATAAAGTAAGTTTCTGTTGTTCGCTTTCTGTTTAAAGATCACTTAATAAGAAAGTTTAGTTTGCTAAATTCGCTAATAAATATGATCTAAGAAGCCTGAGAGTCGTAAACGGATTTATAGAGCATGATACTTCGTTACATTACCATGATATCCTTTAAAAGTATGGCTGTAAAACGAATATGACTACCGGCGAATATAATATGCTTACCACTATGATATTTACTGTTGTAGCAAATAAAAAACAATGCGCGATAGATAGATATTCAGTCTCTTGTCACGTAAATAAGCCTTACTCCGAGCCTGGTGACTTGGGAATCCTTCTTTTCTCTGAATCGGGCGCTATAGTAGGAATACACTTTAGTAGATGAGTTAAGGGCCAAATCGTTTTCACCCATATTAACGATCTTATCGCCGATATTAAAGATCAAACTAGAATTGATCAAGTCGACTTTCCGTACAGAAATGGCCTGGCAAACCATGCAAGGGAGATCAGGACTGGGACTCTTTTACTATTTTATCCAATCTTTTACTTTCTCACTTTCCATCTTTCTGTCTTGTCCTCCCCCTTTTACTTAGAGCGCAAGAGTTTGCGGCTACAGATTTAACCCTATTCCACCATTCTTTTCAACCCTTGAAATAAAATGTGTAATAGTAGAGACGAGTATCACCAATATACGAAAACCGGGCAATAGACGATGCGTGAGTAATGATTATTTATGTATACACATCCAAATAGGTAAACTATCGGTACACACCTGACAGCTAATAAACTAGGCTCATAGTATCTGCTTCTACAAAGACGTAATGAGGAAAGAAAAGAGCTGTGGGTTGTATTCCAAACACAAGGGAGGATCTTTGTTACACGGAAAGACCTGTCCCTAAGCACCAATATCTGCTCTCCTTTCAGCAACCAACGAGTATCGAGATTTCTGTATTAACTCTAATCACTGACCAGAAGAAATTAGTGAAACTCACCTGTCACAAATTCCGGACCCTTCCATGTATTCCACAGGCAAAGATGCAACGGCAGACATATCAGTTGAGACTTCATACATATGGCATTCATCCATGCTATGTTTCACTCCGTATCTCCCAAAAATCAAAGATCGAGGTCTGATCTATCAGCGCGTCGATGAAATCTGGTATCGATCCAGTCTTGTCATTTACCAACTGGTGAAATGCATCGTTCGTTGTTGCAACAGGGGCAGTATCCGAATGAGAGTCAACAAAGCTAGCACCAGCAGAATCAAGAGAGTGATGTGACAGGGTTGAACCCGCGACATAGGTTGGAAAGATATGCTGTAGCGCTTTCATGAAAAGTCCACGATATATGGATGCAACGGTATATGTCTTCTGGAATTCTTCCATGACGCCCATACACATGTCGAGCTTGTTGAAGCTGAACCGTTTTAAAAGCGGACTGGCATATTTGCAGTTGAACAGATGGGTTTGCATCGCCGGGACCAAGAGAGCGGGCCTATCTCATATCAGACATGAGCAACATGAGCTACGAAGTAAAAAAAGACATATGTAGTCATCAGAACTAACGTCATGGGACCGGCGTATTCAAGCAAGCTCTCCCGAGTAAGAACATCCAATATCTCATGAGTCTTTGACGCAGCAGCGTCGACTTTCAACTGCAGGCATCGCTGTTCAGCCCTTTGTTGGTTTTGGACGAATCCTTCCGAATATTCGCGTCCGGAGGGGCGGTAGAGTGTAATCAAAAGCGATCTGTTCCGCGCCATTAGTACTATCAAGGCTCAACTGGGGCAAGAAGCCTTAACTGATAATGCAAATGAACATGATGTGCATAAAATCTTGCCAGAGGGGTCAAACCAGCTTCATCCTGGTCTGGCAACCTGCATCGGATAATCTGCGCTTCGAGAGCATCAATCTGATGGATAGGGGGCCTCGCCTTCACAGGTTTGTTTTTCAGAGCCAGAACCTTACCCAAGAGCAGGCTCAGTTCGATCAGAATAAGCCAGTACTCTGCTAATTTCGGGAAGTCCTGGGGAAAATAGGAAGTGAGGCCCGCTTCAGGTATGTCGTCAAATTCGCCGAGCAGGTCGGCGGTCACTGGCATCGGCAGGTCAGAATCATCTAAGTTGATCCGCAAGGGTCTTCCAAGAGTCAGACCCAGCCAACGATCCCGAAAAACGCAGGTCCACCACAGACGGCGCCATAAACGTCTCTGATGATCTGTGATAGCTGAGTTATACCTCAGCGAATCTGGATCTCGATGTAAGCCCAGCATCTGACAGAGATTGATTGCAATCCCTGTCCAATACCAAGGTTGCATGTGGTCATCTTGCTCTGAGTGCCAAAAGCCTAGTAGTAACGAGGCTTGCAGAAGAGTGACCTTGTTTCTTTCTCCGCCATTGTCGTACATGCACTACATTTGTCAATATAAGCATTCGAATTGATGCTGCCCGTCTGGCTTACCTTTGCCCGCGAGTACATCGTGGCTTTCATTTCCTTTCGAGACACGTACCCTTCTTGCTCATATAAATGCTGTGGCACAAACTATATTTCAATTCAGCGTCTGTGATAGCAGCTCGGTTACGTACGCCTCACATTCACCGCAACGAAAAACACACTCCATAGCAGAAGAACATTGCTGTCACCGAGCTGCTCTTGTTGCTCATATTTCAAGATAGTGGCCATTTCAAGCACGGGCATGATTGGATGTACATGATAGAAATACGCGCGGATAAGGCCCTCACAAGTGTCAGGCTTAGGCAAAGTGTAAACGCCTTTCTTTTGGAGATATATCCGATCGTCCTCTGTCTGAGTGGCGTGGTTATTTGACGGGATCAGGAAGTGCCTTGGCAAAGACTGATCCGGTGAACAAATATCCAAGGTAGATGCAGGACCGGTTCCGTCTCCTGTTTAGATAATAAGCATAGGTATACTTCCCCGTGGAGGGGGATTCTGTTGGTACCTGTATAGAAAGGTACTTCGCCCGCTCTTCGCGGTTGCCCTAATGCGGCTTCCGCAATTTCATTACCGTTTCTTTCTTCATCCTCAATATTATGCAGTTCGTGAGCTGTAGCAGACTCTGTGGCTGTAGGTGTATGTTGCTGCGACTGGATTTGGAATGCTGCAAATTCCGCTCTACGCGTTATGGGGCTTTGTGAATACGGCTGGATCGTAGAGTGGCAGGAACTCTGAGGGTCTGCCAGGGAAACAGGGCCATCATGTCGCTCAGGTCTATTACAAAGTCATCAACATTTAATCAGCCTGCGAAATGACATGGGTCGCTATCTCACTTCATTCCTCGCCTTGCATTAACTATACACTCGGTACGATCCTGGGTGCAGCCAATGCAAGGCACACCGGTGACATTCAAGCTGCAACGTACTTTGCGTTTGCGACATGTTTGACATGCAACTGTTCTCCGACTACGGCGGACTGAGGTGGCAGAACTTGTGGATAACATCATCAATGATATACTTCGTAGTCCTGCTGCTGTTGCAAAAGACCGAGGTGTTGAGTAAATGGGGATATAGAGGAAGCGGGGTAGGTCACCTCGGAGTCCAATGACAACCATAGCCCTAATCCTTCTACCCCGAGGACGCTCACTCGATCGAGATCTTTTACCGCGGTTAAGCCTGCCTGCTCGTTCACCGAGGTTATTTTGGTTCGCAGATAGATATGTAGTTTCTTCTCCAAGTCAATAGGGCGAATAATGGTGTCAGTCGAAGCTCAAGGTTACACTACATGAAATATCCAACCAACACGCCTATATGGATATAAATATAGCGCATAAATAGAGAAGGCTGTCCCCCGTACCGTAAAAGCTAATAGTCAGAGAGACAACACAGGCGGCTATGTCCAATAAACCAAATATATTAGCAGAACAATAAGAGCAAAGCACAATTACAACCCACGTACGCAAAAGGCTCCTTCTTCCGACCATAGTATAAACTAAAATTTATTATTTCCGGCGACCTTCCGTCGTTAGAGGTTCTTGAATTTCTCCTACCCCCGCGGACTTTTTGAACAAAATAACATCATGCACTACTTGCTCCCCATTTTTTCCGCTCCTCTTGTTTAGGTCCATGCATGGCGGTCTTTGTGGCTGCCTCGAAGATCTCATGTTTGGCGACGTACTTCTCGACGATCGTGGGCAGGTATACCTCCGGGGAACTGCGCTTCCTAGAACGCACCGAGCATACAATACTCACCACAGGCAGAACATCCATGATGAAAAACGTAAATAAGCTACAGTGAAAAATATGTTTGTTGATTCAAGGCCACCAAGGAAATATATGGATGCTGGCCAATAACCTCGAAATCAGAAACATTGAAGGTGATTGAGACAGAACAATCTCTGTATGGCTTAAACTTGGTTGATAGTAAAACAAGGATATATAAGGGAAAGGGCTCTACAGATGAATCAACATGCTCGTCTGAACACTCGCTATAATTTAATAATCCGGTGAAAGGATTTTGTGTTACATTCTCGAGCCAAAACCTACCGAGGGTCGACATTAACTAATGTTAACCCGTACCAAAATGCGATGAGGCGCAACAGTCATAAGAACTTGTTTTCCCCAAGCCCAATTAGCTTGATACAATAGAATAGATGTGATTGAAAGACAATATCAGGGTGAAATATTTGAAACGTATTCGCCGAGGTGAATTGGCTCCATCCGTCTTCCGAGGACTCCTCAGTCAAGTGATCTCATTTCCATCCATAAGTAGGCCCTGCCTGCGAGAAAATCAAATTAATTGACACATTTTCCAAAGGATAAAGAACAAACTATCATTTTCAACAAGAACGTACGACATCTACGGCAAGAATGTCCCAAAAGAATTCGCCTATCATCATCGTCGGTGGCGGACTGGCCGGCCTCGTTGCCGCCTTTGAACTGTCCAAACGCAAGGTCTACACTGTTATAGTAGACCAAGAGAACGAGGACAACCTGGGTGGGCAAGCCTTCTGGTCTCTAGGGGGATTGTTTTGCGTGAACTCAACGGACCAACGCCGAAAGGGTATTCAAGATAGTCGAGAGCTGGCGATGCAGGACTGGTTCAATAGCGCGCGTTTTGATCGTGAATGCGATCTCTGGCCCAGGAAATGGGCGAAAGCATTTGTGGATTTTGCAACTGATCATCTTGAGCACTATGTCAAGTCCGTGGGAGTAAGCTTCACCAGCGTCGGCTGGGCGGAACGCGGAGATGGGAGCGCAGGAGGGCACGGAAACTCCGTCAGTTTACCCCGAATAAGAAATGCATGCCTTCTTATATTGGCTGTACGCCATTATTCGTTGAGCATAATGAGCAAGCAAGTCCCTGACTTATACATTCTCTAGGTCCCCAGATTCCATTTGGCATGGGGCACCGGTCCGGCTGTTGTAGAGGCTTTCGAGAAACCGGTCCGAGCTGCAGCAAAGAAAGGGTTAGTTAAGTTCATGTTTCGCCACCAGATAGATTCTTTGATAGTCGATGAATCTACCGGAGCTGCCATCGGAGTGCGGGGCCGAGTGCTTGAGCCATCTGATACAGCGCGCGGTGTAGCGTCCAGCCGGAAGAGCATTGGCACATTCGAGGTGTACGGCAGCGGAGTGCTGATTGCAAGTGGAGGTATTGGTGGCAACATAGACTTGGTTAAAAAGAACTGGCCCATTGACCGACTCGGGGCACAACCGTCGAACTTCGTTATCGGTGTCCCTGCACACGTAGATGGACGCATGATTGAGATTGCCAAAGAGGCTGGGGCCAATGTGATCAATGAAGATCGCATGTGGCACTACACCGAAGGCTTGCAGAATTGGAACTCCATTTGGCCACAGCATGGAATACGGATCATCCCTGGGCCCTCTTCGCTGTGGCTAGATGCCACAGGCAAACGGCTACCCCCAATGCTTTATCCTGGTTGCGATACCCTTGCCACTTTAAAGCATATCTGCAACACGGGCTATGACTATACTTGGTTTGTACTTGACAAAACTATCATTGGCAAGGAGTTCGCTCTTTCGGGCTCCGAACAGAATCCAGACTTGACGGGCAAAAGTACTCTACGCACGCTCCATCGTGTACTTAGCTCCTCGCCTCCTGGACCCGTTCAAGCGTTTATGGATAAAGGGCCCGACTTTGTGGTTGAGGCAACCATACCAAAGCTAGTGGCTGGAATGAACCAACTCGCCAAAGAACGAGGTGGGCCTCTTCTAGACGTTGAGAAGATCGAACATGAGATCCGCCTCCGGGATATGCAGATTGACAATAAATATACCAAGGATGCCCAAATAATGCTAATTCAAAATGGACGCAACTACTGGCCAGAACGACTTGGACGAGTGGCTAAACCACACAAGCTCGCAGATCCTTCCCATGGTCCGTTTATTGCTGTACGCCTGAACCTTCTTACCCGCAAAACTTTAGGGGGACTTGAAACGGATCTAGATGCGTGTGTACTTCGTCCGGATGGTTCACGTTTTCCCAACTTGTACGCTGCAGGCGAGGTTTCGGGTTTTGGTGGAGGGGGAGTACATGGGTATAGTGCGCTTGAAGGGACATTCTTAGGAGGCTGCATCTTCTCCGGACGAACAGCTGGCATCAAAATGGCCGAAGCGGTGGCGGGAAAGTCACCACGGCCGTCTTTGTAAGATCCCTTTGCCCCTACATATGCCGGATGAAGTCCTTTTACATCATACTCTGATGACGTATCCTTATTAAATCATATACCATTTCAATGCCTGTGGCTGTGGGAATCTAGCTGATGCTGCTACTGCCAATACAACGAGATGTCCGCTGGTTTCACATCCCATTGAGCTGGCATGAGTGATTAGACAGATATCAGGTCCATTAAATCCACATCCTTGCTCAAATAATGTGAAACTGTTTAATACATTTTCTATGACTCAGTCTCTATCTGATTCATGTCCATCAGTGCTTTCACCTTCTTCGGGTTTCCATAGCAAATGCTCATTGCTATCCGGGTCATCAACGTCCTCGGCATGTGGGATGAATTCCTCAATTCCCTGAATTCCCTTCAGCTTCGATGAGCCGCCGTGCATAAATGTCAACAACGCATCATTTTGAGTGTCGTGTGCAGGCTGCTAGCCTCTCTCGTATCCCCTTATGCACAAGTACTCCAGATTAGCCTGTAGGCAATCTGCCAGCATGACATTATCTCTGGCATGACCACCAATACCACTTGAAAAATATATAAGGATATTTATTCCCATGCTCAGCTGTTCAAAGCATGGAAGACTTTCAAGGACCCCGTCTGTTCCCATAGAGAATTAGGCGGTGCTCCTTCGTTGCGTTGGAATGCATCCTGGGTTTCAGAAGAGTTAAAATAGCTTTCCATCTGCTCCTTGTTTTTGCTTCAGATGAATGGAATGATATACGACTCAGCGTTGGCATCCAGAATTTCCAGTGTATCTTTGTGCAATAGAACGGCTCTAATGAATGCTTTTGGGTTGAATATCGGGTAGCCCGCATCGTCTCTTTATCCCCCTCCAGTCGAGAACTGGAGCTCTCTCATTGTTTTGTATGAGCAGATCACAGAGGTAAGGTGCATTGAGTAGAGAGTAGAGTAATGAATCGCAATTCTGCGGATATTGGACAACCTGTATTCTACCGGGGTCATCCCGTTCGCTTCTTTAGCAAATCCGTGCCGATGAATTCGACCGAGGGAAGACGGTAGGAGAGCGCAAGGTACCAGAAGAAGTCTACGTGATGGTAGAATAGTTCATCAACATAGAGGCCCTCAGTTTGATTGATAATGTATATCTTCCCCGAGATTCTACAGATGTGGCTGACCGTCAGGCTTTGCATTTATCCGGCGGAAGAGCTGATCGAGGGGTAATTCGAAAGGCATTAGATCATTTGGCCTCCTATTAGCATGTAAAAGCCAGTTGCGGTAACGGCCAACGACTCGAGATTCGCGGACAGAGAAATCAGAAGAGCAGCCAAAGCCTGTGTTGCCAACGTTCTGGCCATATCCTTCCCTGCGATGCTACGTACTTTAAGCCCCATATTCAGAACAAACAACTTCAGTATGGAGAGCGCAACTAAAGAATCTGTAAGGGAGCCGGCCAGCAGAACTCTGCATGGGCATATTGACTATGCGATGCTCTTGAAGTTCCGTGAAACTGGCTCTATGCGTGGCATCCCGCAACAGCTGCAGTTCTTCATCTGTAAGCTGTCGTTGGGGTCCTGACTCGGTGCAGTCAACAGACACTGTTGGTGGTTGTCCGCAACATTCAGTATGACGGGCATGATGGCCTAGAGTTAGCCATTTCAGGATATCCATGAGCATGGCAAATGCTTGATCGAGATAGTCCTTGCCACACGAAATGCGGACTTGGCTATATTATTTCCATTATTTCATGTCGCAAAGGAAGCGCAGAGTTCTACATCGCATAGAAAGAGCTGCGACATCTTGGCTGGCCAGAAGAAAGGAAATAATGTTCTTCTCGATGTGGTAGGGGAGAAGCACGAGGCTAGTCATGGTCGGTACTTTAGGCGTCGATTTTTATATTCCCCTTTGCGTTGAAATGTCTCTTCTATTCTTTCTTGCAATATCTGTATTATATCGTTCTATGTCTTGTATAGCATAGATAATAGTTCTGTGTATACGTAGACGAATAGGGTTGCTTGTTTTGAATTTTTACCAAGGGAATTTTCCCTCCGAAGTCCGAGCAAGTCCGAGGGCTATATATAAACTTCGTACTAGTTCTTGATCATCCAGACAGATATATCAGCCCACAATTATAACCACAATGATGACAATTACTGACTTTAGAGTCCGCAAATCCAAACCAAAATATCAATCCTGTGCAGTCTGTCGCCGGCGGAAGCTGAGATGCGATCGCCGCAGCCCATGCCAACGATGTATCAACTCGCAATGTGTCCACCTTTGCACCTACAGTCTTAGGGATAACGAAACCAGGACAGAGGTTAACTTGAGAGAAACGGGCCCGCCAAAAGAACTTCGTACTATGGCAACTTATGAAGCTTCAGAGAATGAGCGGGCTGCGAATCAGCGATTAACCTCCAATATCTCTGAGCTCGAGCAACGTCCCTCGAGGACGGAAGATCCTCGATATTCGTACTCCTCCATACAAGATAGTGCGCCGCCAAATCACTCTTCAAACGACACAACTGTCTCTTTTACAAAGCCACCAGTACAGGCTCATATTCCCGGGCTTGGAATGGTAGAGGTGTTGGATATTTTTTCACATGGTAAACATGACAATACTCGGGTTTGGGAAAGAGGTCACTGGGCCTCCCTTATAAGCAAGGTAGATTTCCTTGCCCAACCGTTTGGTGAGAGCCACTGTCCTCTTCGATACTGATTCTCATTAGTTCACGGACGTAATGAATGTTGCGTCGGATAACCGCGAAAACGTAAAGGGTTACTACAGGGAGAGAAAAGGTATAAGCACCCCGGAGTCAGATATCATGACTCAAAATTGCGCATCCCGGATGCGCAATGTTTGGATACCACCGCGGCAGACTGTCGAACTTTTGGTATCTCGATATTCAAATACATTCAGCCATTCTCACCGAGTTTTGCACATTCCTAGTTTCCTAGATGACGTGGAATCGATTCTAGTTGGGGATTCCCGCCACAGTACATTTTCTCTAGCCTGCTTTCTGTGTACCTTATCAATCGGAAACTGTTGCCTGAACATGGAAAGCGAGGATTCTTCGCCTATGGTCAGGAAAACATCCGTCCTAGAGTGGCTCGAAGCTACCCGACTTTGGCTACAAACGAGCAGTTTAACAAGAAAGGTTTCTGTCCACGGATTACAGGCTCGATATTTGTTCCTACTTGCTTGCCAGGTTTGCGGCGTTGACCTTGATGGCAACTGGATTTCGTCCGGGGCGCTAGTCCGAGAGGCAATCGCATTCGGGCTTCACCGCGATCCAGCTGCATTCTACTCTATGACTGCATTTCAGCGGGAAATGAGGCGGAGAGTATGGAGGCCATCATTGAGGCAGAAGTGCAAAGCTCAATCACAGCTGGCTTACCGTTGTGCATATCTCCAGAAGATTTTGATGTCCTGCCCCCGTTAAATATAAATGATGAGTCTATCTCGGAGAATGACTCAATGAATCCAGAGCCGAAACCATCGGGTATCTTCACTAGGGCTTCATATCAGATCATTCAATCTCAATCTTTGCACGCCAGGATCCGAGCTGCTATAATTCTGAATCGCACGAAGTCTGTTTCGTACGATGGAGTTATGCAGCTTAGTGCAAATCTGATTAAATCCAGGAACGCTATATCTCAGCTCCTGACCCGAGATAATAGCGCCAATGATATACACGCCTCAACCAAGCAATTTCTCATGTCATATTTTGACCTTCTCATTCATCGGTTTCTCCTTGCACTCCATCGACCATTCACAATGAAAGGCGCTTACGTTGCAGGCTTTCACTATTCGCGCATCAGGTGTCTGAGCTCTTCCTTAACATCCCTTGATTGTCTTGGGATATCTCCGTCCCCAGAAACAGGTGCTCGTCACACCCATCCACTATGTACTTTCTCTGGAAGCTATTTCATTGATGATTTGTTCAACTCCGCAATCAGCATATGCCTCGAACTGATGCTCGAACGTGCTGATGAATCCATACTCGGCCACCCGCTGCCATCGATTTGCACACCGGGCTCTACGAGGACGACAATGTTAATTACTGCCAGGAACGCCTTATCGAGCTTGTGGAGCGCTGTATTGGTGTACTCGATCTCTGGGCATTGCGAGGACAAGCAAATTCCAAGAAATACATGTTCTTGGTAATGGCCAATGCTTCGGTGAAATCACGTTTATCTGGACGCGAATCGCTCGATGGGATATCCGACGCTCTCTGGCAAAATCTGGCAAAGTATAAGCGACTTTTGGAGGAAGGTTCGAGAAATACCATGTCCATAGGTAATGAAGAAGTAAGAATCCCTACTTCTCAGCTAAAGTAAACAACTTCTGAGCTTACCCTTGAACAGAGTGAGCAGGCAGCCTCAAGGGCGTTCGAACCCAGGACCCTTGCCTTTCTTACGCCTTTGGCCGATGACCCTGATGATATACAATCCGTAAGTCAAGCTCGAATGAGATAGGGTACACCTTAGAAGTTCTAATAGGTAATGATATAGTCCGTTCCGGATCTTCTGTCTGATAGTATTGTTGGTAACGATTGGGATGACGGCCTATTTGATTTAATTACTGCCTTTACAACCGCTGAACTAGGCGCTAATGCTAGTTTATAGCAAACAAAAGTCGGTCTAGAATACAGGTATTAAAAGTGCGTCTTCGCTCTAACAGACTCGCAATTTAACAACTGATCTATCTCTCTCGAGTAGGCGGATAGGTCGTTAATGAAACATTCGCTCTACTTCCCTAAAATACACGCATCTATATTCTCTAATTCAACTATTGATATACACTTAACCACAGTATGTGAGCTAGATGATAGATGCTTCTCATCCGGTCCGTATTTCTTCATACTGGTCCGGCCGTCCAAATGCAAGGTACCCATCAGGACGCACCAAGATCTCTCTGAGACCGCCCGAATAAAAGGCTACTCTCTCGTCCAAGTCCGGCATATCTATAGCTTCAACCAAAACTGTACGGTCTCCAAACGCAGGGCTGACGTTTTGACTCCTCTTTTTTCCAGGAAGCTGCAGCTGGATCCAGTGGGCATGCCTCATATACTCACAGAGGTTTGTGACTTCTCCGTCCGGTGATTGTATTTTGACATGGAGAGCTCGCATACCCTGCATACCCTTGGGTAGTGGGTCCCATCCGTCGGGGCATACCATATCCAGCGGCTTAGGATAGGAAACAGCGAAGCCACTAATCTCCAACCCCAAACTCTTATTCGCTTCCGGTACGCGCAAGAGTCTGTCCATCGCAGCCCTCACGGCCCATTCCGGGCCCGTGGAGGCAAAGAACAAAAGCGATTGTGAAGTCGTATTTTCCACGGCAGCCTTCGCAACTGGCAGTCGCTCGTCTTCATATGTGTGAGGCAGTGAGCTGGGAGCAGAACCACGGATCACTTCGCCTAGCTTCCATCCTAAATTGAGAGCTTCTTGAAGACCAACATTCAGTCCCTGCCCACCCGCTGGAAGATGCTTATGGCATGCATCTCCAACAATGAATATTCTGCCACTTTGGTATCTTGTAGCCAGTCTCTGTTCGTTGCTAAATCGCTTCAGCATACAAGGATTTGAAAGTTTGTAATCGACCCCTGTTACCTGCCGAATAGCTTCGTTCATCTCCTCAAGCGTGACAGGAACAGACTCGGGAACCGTGGCCTTAGACCGGGCGAAAATATTGAGTCTTGCTCTGCCGCTGGGTACATGTAGATCTGCAGCTATGAGCAAGCCATGCTCGTTGTGCACAAGATATGGATTTGGCATTGGGACACCCAGCGTAGCCTCACCACTCATGACGGTATTCACGGATGGTACTCCGAACGCCGTCCGCGCCGACAAGGTATTTCCCAGTGGCAGTGAAAAACTGGTTTTCTGCTTGCTGGGTAGCATGAGTTCCACCGACAGTCACACTGTGATCTGTCGTTGCAATGGATTGAACTCGAACCCCTTTCACTATTACCACACCAAGTTCTTCGGCACGGCGCAGGAAGATCATCTCAGTCCGATATTGTGGGACCAGCAAGGCATGGTTCTGATCGGTCTCTGGGCCGAAGACACTGTAGTCGAGTCGGGTGTCAAGAACGCCGTAATGCCACCAATTGGACTTCTGTCCTGACTCAAGGGACTGTTCAAGAAGCCCGCGAGCAGCAAGCATTTCCAACGACCGCCCATGCATCACGAAAGCACGGGTTTCCGCCATACCCTCACGACCAGTTCTCTTTTCGACGACCATCACAGTAAGGCCAGCGAGGCGAAGTTCGCATGCGAGGAAGAGGCCAACGGGGCCGGCTCCAACAACAACAACGTCATACGACTTAGACGCCATTGTACATAACAATCTAGCTTATGTGTCACGGGTGATCGATCAGGGAGTTATTTGAAGGCTTTTAGTGAAAAATAATCCTAGAACTGCGGTGATTTGGATTCTAAAAGGTCCGGGTCTGTCAACCTATTTATAATGCTTTGGGAAGCAGGTATTTCTCGGCAAGTTTTCCATGTTAATTCATCGTTCCAGGTCTCGGTCAACCCGTTCTCGGATGTCAATTGGAACAACCATCGGCTTCGGGGTCCTTGTTGCCCTTTACACTTCATGATAGCTTCTGTGAGACTTTTCCAGATTGCGAGGCCTTCGGGCAGCTTGTCGCTTGGTCGGACTATAATCAGCTTCTGAAGCCGACATCTATCTCCGAGCTGTCGATGTCCATTCTGAGCAATCCCTGTTTCGGTAAATATTACCCCGAGGCTTGGAACAGGGTATATGTATGATACATTTGAGTATCTACTTACATATGAACTATCAGGATTGTCTTCTCCGCTTTTTCTTTGGCTTCCCCATCAGCGGAGGGATATTATAGACTGTTTTAGAAACTAAACCTAGATGGTGATCGAGATGAAGCTATGCTTGAAACGCAAAATCTCTTCTCTTTGTTCGATACAAATAGTTGTACTAGCACAAGGCCTTAATGAAAACATCTCACAGGTGGCATTATATCTGAGGATGACCCTGTTTTACGTTTCCCTCCCACAATGGCTTGATAGAGCAAGTTTATATACGTATTTTTATTGGCAATGCCAGTATCTACAAGTATCATACGGCTCTTCATTCGGTTTTCCCCGCTATAGAATTATCATATATTCAAACATAAGGTGGATAAATGGGTTACACTGCATCCTGGCGTCCAAATTCCGATGTAGCCAAGGCAAACTCATGCATATGTGCGCATATGCGCGGCCAAACTTTACGATGACGGTCCCCCGATATCTGGAGAATTAGCGAATATTCAGAGACTTATTTCGGTCGAATCCACACCTGAGTGGTTCAGGTATCGATATTATAAAACATTGGTTTTCAATAGGATAGCCAGTGCGGATTGATCGAGTCATGTGACAGTGTGGCTGGTTAAGTGTGGCGTCATCTTCTACATATTATCTGCATTATCAGATCTTGTCTCTTGTAAAGCTCCTGCCAGCTCCAATTCCCCAGATACACGGGTTTTCTATATACAGTCTCCTACAGTACTTAGGCGTTACAACGGCCTTCTATGAACCCCTTGTTTCGCTTCCCTCTCCGTCTCTACTCAACAATGTCCACCTCATTATCCCCCACGTCATCGCCCTTCACACGGGCCGTGGTGAGCTCTATGAGGAAGCTGTATGTTTCCCTACCTCCCCCAATCCCCTCGCTTACTCGAGCTGGACGGCATATACTATCCTCAGATCCAATAACTGATGATACCGACAGGTACCCCGAATCCCTCGCAGACAAAAGCTGGGATAACACAGGCCGTAAGCCCCTCCACCCGGCGCTACCACCACGCTCACAATATCTAACAAGCAAGCAACACAGTCCTCCTCGAAGCGCCTTTCAACCCAACCCGCCGACAAAGGAACTCCGTCCTTCTAACAATCGACCTCACAAAAGCAGTAGCAGACGAAGCGATCGCACGCAAAGCCTCCGCAATCGTCGCCTACCGTACGTCAACGCACCCCTCCACAGGACCCCTTACTATACAAATAGAACAGTTCACAGAACTAACCACCCACAGACCCAATCATCTTCCGCGGCCTCAAATCCCTCACCTTCACCGATCCCCAACAACAATCCCTCCTCCACCTCGCCCAAGAAGGCATCAGCGTCTATTCCCCCCATACAGCTGTAGACGCCACGCCCGGCGGAATGGCCGACTGGCTCTGCGACATCGTAACCGGCACAATCACTCCCTCCTCGACCTCCCCATCCCAACCCGCCAAATCCTCCTCAACCCTCTACACAGCCCCAACCTACCCCACCCCAGGCCCCATCGCCCTCTCCGAACAATCCAAAATACCCCCGCACACCATCTCAACAATCCACCCCTCCCCCTCTCCCCCCGAGAACATGGAATCTGCAGGCATGGGCCGCCTCGTCACCTTCGACTCCCCGCAGCCCCTAACCACCCTCATTGATAGAATCGCAGAGGGGACAGGATATCCGGGGGGCATTCCGATTGCGATTCCGCAGTCGGCCAGCGTAGACGAGCTGATGATTCGGACAGTGGGTGTTTGTCCCGGGTCCGGGTCGAGTGTACTTATGAAGGGGGATGTTCCGGATTTGTTGTTTACGGGGGAGATGAGCCATCATGAGGCTTTGGCGGCTATTGAGCGGGGGAAGGTGGTTGTTGCGCTTGCACATTCGAATACGGAGAGGGGGTATTTGAGGGGGGTTATGAGGGGAAGGTTGGCGGGGGCTTTGAAGGAAGAGTGGGATTTGTTGCGTGGGGAGGAGTTGAAGCGGTTGGAGAGATCGGGGGAGGAGAAGTTGTTGGAGGTTCTTGGGGATGCGGAGTGTGAGGTACTTGTTAGTGAGACGGATCGGGATCCGTATGGGATAATGCTTAGGAGGGGTTAAGATATTGTGTTGTGTTATATAATACATGGATCTTCTGGTCTGGAGATGTGGTTTATTGAGGTAGGGCTGGAAGTATAGGCTTGTATTTAGCTTACATGTAGCAGTTTGCTAAAAGTATAGAATTAATTAGGGTCAATGGTATATCATTGTCGAGATTAGGTTCGAACACTAGGGTATGATCAACTCAACAATACCCGGATCTCGCCCGTTGTCCTGGGGAACAGTCTTCTCAATCCCCACTCACCCTCTCCCTCCTCCATGCCCTTCTCGCTCTCAGCGCCTGCCTCACTCCCCCTGTCCACGCGTGTAACATCGATCTTGCCTCTTGCCTCGTCCGCACCGATGATCATACCTTCGACAAATTCGAAGTCCCGACAGAACGCCTCGACCGCTTCCTCCGTCACGCTCTTGACAAATGTGGCACTGCGCAGGCGCTTCAGGTTATCCGTGGCGTCCATCAGGGCCGATGGGAGGAAATCGTCAAGTTGCTGGCTGATCGCGATCAGAGCTTCAGGCTGGAAGGCTGGAAGAGTCGCGATGTCAGCCAAATTAGGTTGTTGCTGTGGCTGATTTTCTGGCGGGTGGGAGTTCTGTTTCTCTGTTTTAGTCGGTGCCACATTCGTTGATGATGGTTTGGAGAAGGGCTCAAGTGCTGTGAGCAAGACCCGAAGGCCTGAGGCATCTAGAAGATAATCAATTTGGATCTCTAGCAGATTCACCCGGAGGGAAGCAAGGGCCGTAGAGATAGGGTTCAAATGTGTGACACTAGCAAATGAGTATGCAGAAATGGTCGTGCGTGTCGTAAGATGGATATTGGTCAGATAGATGGCACGCGCGGTGGAATTAGACAGCTCCTCTGCTGAGGATTTCGCCAATTCCATGAACGGATCAAATGCGGCACGGAGAACAGGAGTGAATCGGTTTTCGTTCTTGGACTGCATATCATCGGTTACAAAGGAAGCTTCATAGGTCTTCATCAGAGAAGTCAAGCCTTCAAGTGCCTCGACCAAGAACTGGGGCGTGGATAGATCCTCCGAAGGAGTCAGGGCTAAATGATCGGCTGACAAACTGCTGACTGCATCTTTCATAAGAGCCTCGAAGTGGCCGAAAGTGAATTTTTCAAGGGTTCCCAGCAATTCTACTAGGTTAGAATTGGGTCCCAATAATTTCGAGAAGGTCGTCCGGTAGAAGGAGAGTAGACCGATGACCTTGTAGCAGGTAACCGGATCGTCGTGGCCTTGAATAACCAACTCGACCCGCTGCCGTAAAGCTCGAGAGACTCCAATAAGATCACGATTAACAAGGTCGCTAAGGGCCTTTTGTCCGTCAAATGCGACCTCCTCGTGCTCCTCGATACGAGACCAAGGCTCACTACTGAGTCCGGCCTGGATCCCCCTAGCAAGCTCCTCACCATCCGCCACGAAAAGGGCTTCGAGGGCCTCCCGCTCCGACACTGTAGTCGAATGTACCCAGGCGAGCATGTCTCCGATGTACCTCAGAGGGTCGTGAGCAGAAAACTCAATCGGCTTCACATTGCTATCGCCTGCAGCACCGGAAACTGCATCCGTAAGAGCGTAATGGAAGGCATCAGAGAGGGTGTAATCACGCGCCTCTGCGAAGAAATCCAAACAACTGTGGAACAAGCTCGGTCTTTCCGCCAGTACCCGCAGCGCCCGTCGGATCGAGCTACTGATCCGGGGATCTTCCAGGTTGAGCGATTTGAACTCCTTCTGGATCCATCTGTACAGCTTTTGGTAAGCGGAGTTGAGGTTCCTTGTGCTCTTCTCCATGAGTTCCAGGCCCAATCGCTGATTCTCTCCGCCCAGCAAAGCTTCGCAATCGCGGTGCACCTGCTTCACACGGGCAAGCACGTCAAAGAATTGATCATCGATCGGGTCCTCGATAGAAGTCAAGACCAGAAGGTCATCATCAGAAACGATAAAATGTTTCGTAAAGGCATCAAGCAGCTGTTGTTTCGTCTCGGCCTCCTTCTTCTGGTTCATCAGCGCAGAAGCCTCCTCCAGCATGGGGGCGGTGTCTTGTCTCGCCAGTCCAATGTGCTTTCGCATTTCTTCGCATGTCTGGTTAAGGCTGGTAATCACCGTACCGATTCGTTTCAATTGCTGCTCAATCCATAAGGATTAGCACCGGTCTTTCTTCCCCCCCCCCCCCCCCCCCCCCGGGGTTATTGACAGCTTACCTCCGCAACCTTCCCAAAGTCCCGCACAATCTCCGCGTTACAATCGACCACTTCCTGCTGTACATCCAGCCGCAGTTGTCGTCGCACCTCTGGGGTATTATGTATACCCCGAAGGCTGAGGGTCTCGAGCGCATCGCGTATGTCTGAATCCGCATAAGAAGCGGAGAGTACACTTGTCAAACGGTTGGTCAAGGCATTGGATCGTTGCGTAGCTGGCGGAGACAAAGGGGAAGCTGCTGGAGAAGGCGTCCTGGTCGAATTATGACTGGGAATGGCCCCAGCTGGGGGGAAATAGCTGGTCATAGGAGGGGGTTTATCGGGAGCTCGGTGGAGTTAATGTGAGGAAGATGGTCAATAAATTGGCTGCAGAGGCGGGAATAGGAAGTTAAAAGCAGCGCCGAAATTGGGCACCGCTCGTTTCTTTACTAGTGGATTTTACAGAGTTCCCCGTCAAAGAACAAAGCATTGTTTATTGCAACTTCCATCCTTCATAGACAACAGCGAGTACCTTTTCAATTTTCACAGCAGCTGATCGCGGAATATAAGCCATCATTCTCACGACCTGATCTCCCCCGTCTATCCCAACATTCACCGCCAATGGACAGCCCCCTCCTCTCCCCCGCCAAAGCGCGACAAGCTGCCATCCAGGCCAAAGACTGGGCCTACGTGAACTCCTGGCTCAGTCGCCAATACGCTCCCAACCCGGTCCCTTCGTTCGAACGAAATGAAGATACATTACGGGCCTTGCTCGCCCTAGCGGCAGCTAACGATACCGCCGACGAGGAAGCCACCATGCTACACCATGCACGCGAACAAGTTGTCCAAGGATTTAAAGCTGGCGAGGAAACCGAAGAGAATCAAAAGAGGGAAATACTTGACGAGCTGGAACTTTGTCTTAATGATAATGGTCGACAGGCTCTCGACGATTTAGCGGAGTCGGCCGCGGCGCTGGGAGCCTTGAGCATAGAAACGGCGCCCCTGGGTCAAGCAGTTATTGACCTGACCAAGGAGGAATTTAGCGTTCATGAACAGCTTGTTAAGGTGGATATACTACATGGTTATTTGCAAAGGGAATTGGAAGCATTGCGCGAACAACTAGAAGATCTCGAGTCCAATCCAGCATATGAAGTCCCGGCAAACCTCCCCGCTCTGACGGCCGAGTGGATGAGAGGCACGAAAATGCTTACTGCTAAAGTCGGCGAATATCACGATAAGATTGCTGCACTAGAGCGGAATAAAAGTAAAGGGCCTACCCTGGAAGAACTGCAGGCGGAGGAAGAGGAGGTCGTGAAGCTCTCACACACAGTCAAGAGGTTGGAATATCGACTCCAGCTGTTCCAACATCTTCCCACGGATATCCAAGGGGCGCGGGCCAAGTACAGGGAGTTAGAGAGGGAGCTCAACCAGCTCACCCTACAACGAGACTCGATGCCTTGACATCTAGTACGGAAGTGACCCAAGAGTTATTTGTTTTGTGATTTATTCATATTATCACTAATTGACACGGAATACTAAGCATAATACAGTACATGAGGATTAGGTCATCAAATCATAAGAGTATCCATGATGAGACAGTCACAGGTGATCCTCCAAGCTCGGGTTTAGTGGTCACCGAGACCAACAGCGTCCTTGATCTTGTCACCACTACCGAAGACGGGTTAGCATCTAGTTATTCATGGCTAGGATACCCCATAAGGTCACTCACATCGACTTGCTGGCGCCACCATTGTGGTTGTCCTTGGAACGCTGGGCCTTGTCGAAGGCCTCCTGAGGGGCGGACTTGTTCTCGTCGGGCTGAGTGCCACGGGCGAGGCGATCACCGGTGTCAGTGAAGGTTTCCTTAACCTTGTCCTGGGTGGACTTGGCCGAGTCGGGGGTGAGCTCCTCCTTAGCCTCTACAGGGGAGTTAGTAAGAATCGCAAAAGGTCAGCTGCACCTAAATGCATGTCAACGTACTGGTAGACCAATCCTTGCGTCCGGCGTCAGACATGTTTGCAGGTACTTGTTCGGAGAGTTGTAAAAAGGTTTTGAGTGGTAGAGCAGTTGCAGTAGCGTTGTTAGTTAAATGTTGTTTGAGACTGATGATGGACTGAACGATAAGTCCCGGGTCAGAGGGTTTATATATCTTTCAACTGGTTCTGAATTGGTCTTACCATGACGTTGATGACCTTGGGTTTGCATGGGCTACGCAATTCACCCGAGGAATCGCATCTTGGAGTCCAGGCTTTTCGCCTCATCAACCAAAATAGGACTAGATCCATACACAGCAGAACCATGGAGACCTTGGCTGAGCGTCATGGTGACGAGAGAGCCTACCAATGGCAGTCTGGATGCAGATCAATTGGTGAATCGCGAAGAAAGCAGGAATAAACATCAACGTCGTCATTTTTGAGAATTCTAGACTTGGGTCCCATGACGTCGCCATGACTGTGGACTAGCCTTAAATGGCTTAGTGTCTCCTGGGGAAAGAGGGCGCTTCGGATTATCTGTTTTGGCGGAGGCCGACCAAGGACCTTCCCCTTTCAGGTTAGCGGAAGGCTGTTAGTTCATACAGCAGGCGGTGTATAGTGGCAGTAACGTGACAGCTGTTCACCGCCACGCGGCGAGTGATTGGAGGCGGCAAAGGCCTCCACTCTCCATGCCTAACTTAACTTCCTATTATCAACTCTCCTTTCAATGCGTTTGGCGTAAACTTCGTCTAGTCGGGTCTCAATGACCACCATGTTGATTTGCTCAATCTTTATGCCCTATCGTTTTGATTGGAATTATTCCCATTTATAGTTGTCTTCTTTGCTCGAAGCTTCTTTCCCTCCTTTTCTACTTCAGACCCCGCGTATTGCCACCAGGCACACCCCCAAATACCGGAAACTCTACACAACATATTATCTAATATTCAAGTCGATTGCTGTCAATGCCATCGTCGAATACACCTCCTTCGAACTGGGATTTCACTCCGGTGATTAATCTACTTTGCTCGCCGACTTATACCAGCGGCGACCGCTCCATCCCTGCTCTCCACCATGACTCCGACCAAGAGCCATCCACTTCCGAGGTTGCTGCCCAAAGTGTAAATGGCTCGACACCTGGTCAGAAGCTTGAGAACGGTGGGCCCCCGAAGCTCGGTGATTTTAGTGCTCTGTGGGATATCCTCGGCAACACCACGCCTCCTGTCGGCGCAGAAGCTGGACTTCGTCAAACGACCAAGGATAACGTGGTCGAACAACCTCCACAGCAGCCCAAGCGGATTCAAATACTAAAGCGCCCCTCTCATGGGGTTAACAATCTTGACGATCTTGAAAAGGCGCTTCCACGAACACCTCCTCGGCCGATTCTTGTCTCGGATAAGTCCAAATCCCGCAGGGCTACCATTGAGTGTCGCACGGTGAAATCCCGTGATCAGCCAAGGCAACCGGTTGACGAACCTCAGTTATCCGAAAGTACTGCGGAAGCTGAATCAGACAACCCCAGCATCTTTGAACCGTCTTACTCGAAACGGGGCGTTGTTTCCTTGGTCCCGCCACAGGTGGGCATAGCGGAGGCCTTGAGTGAACCATCCGAAACCCCACCATCTTCGTTTGATGAAGCCGATGGGGCGTTAACCCCCATCGCTACTCAAAATCTGCCCGGTGGTGCCATTCGTGTGCGACCCATTGCGTACAAGTCGGCGACCGACCGGCGAGTCGGTCTCTTAACCAAGCTGTTGAAGGATTTTCCCGATTATGCGGATGCTGTAATTCAAGTAGGAAGGCTCGGGAAGTCAAGGCCTGTGCCTTCTCCCACATGTCGCCCCATCCATGTCTTTGTCGATATGTCTAATGTAAGTCTACGATTCCTCTCCCGTATTTGTCCACTCTTAGCTGATGACCCACAACTTAGATCATGGTTGGATATCACGACTCGATGAAAGTATCTCGAAACATTCCCGTGAAAACGCGGATCCGCCGTTTGCCCCTGTCATTCCAGAACTTCTCGTTAGTCTTAGAACGTGGTCGGCCAACTGCCAAGAGAGTCTTGGTGGGCTCCGACCGCTTCGCTGCGATCGACGAAGGCGAGAAGCTCGGCTACGAGACGAATATTCTAGACCGCGTGCATAAGGTGAAACAACCTACTCGTCGTCAGCTGAAATTTCGCAAAAATCCACGGACGGGTGCTCAGGATGGCGGCAGTGGTTCTGAAACGAACGACGCGCCAGGAGAGCGATGGGTCGAGCAAGGTGTGGACGAAATTCTACACCTGAAGATCTTGGAAAGCCTGTTGGATACGGATGAACCAGCGACAATTGTTTTAGCTACGGGAGATGCGGCGGAAGCTGAATTCTCCGGAGGATTCATGAAGATGGTGGAGCGCGCGCTGCGGCGTGGGTGGACGGTGGAACTGGTGAGCTTCTCCCAGGTCACCAGCTTTGCCTATCGTAAGAAAGAGTTCCGCTCGAAGTGGGGGAATCAATTCAAGATGATCGCCCTAGACGGGTATATTGAAGAACTACTGGACATGTGAATGGGTGGAAGGATGGTCTGGAATCAGAGACACATTTAACCTTCTTGATGCTTGAGCTTACTGTCCTAGGGCTTTTAGATAGTGGGGCAATCAGGGGCTTATATCCAATCCGCATGGTTTTATTCGATCCAACTTGGCATTTATTTTCTCCTACATAAAATGTTGCAGATAAAGTAAAGAATCGAACCCTTTCCATAGTCTAGACCTCAGTCCCGTGAGTCATGGGGAATCAGATGACCCTGCCGCCCAATCAGAAAAGAGTCTGCCCGCCAACCGCCGAGGGATGTCATGCCCCTCATTGGCCAAAGCATCTCAAGAGCTTCAAATCGCATCCAAAAGCAGCAATCATCTCCCTCCTCAAGCAACAATACCTGTCCTTCATGACTCACTACTCTCCCTAATCTCACGTATATAACGCACAAGAACAACCACCCCAAGAAAACCCACAATAACCCTCACCTCCAAACCCACACCCACAAGCAAACCCAACCACAACCCCTCATCATCGCCCGCAAAATCCACAAAAAGTCCACCAAAAATGACCCAATACGCCCCCCGCGACTTCTACGGCGGCGCCATCAAAGGCCTCATTCCGCAATCCTGGGTCGACGCAAGGTAACACCCACCACCTTCATCAACTCCAAGTCCAACCCCAAACTAACATACTCAAAACAACAGCGACGTCCGCGAAGTCCCAGACCATCAAGAAGTCTTCCTCAGCCCGACAACCCTCACGTCCCAAATCGTCGAAATAAACCAACGCGTCTCCCCCGAAGAGACAACCTCCCTCTCACATCTTCTCCCTTCAACCTCCACACCCGACGAAGCAGCCGCCCTCTATCACATCCACGACATCTGCGACGAAGACGACAAACTTGAGATTGTAACCGGTCCTATGAGCGTCTCTATGGGCAAGTTTCTGGCGTCGGGGATCAGTGCGTATCGGGGTGTTGTGCGGGTTACATCGCCGAAGAAGCAGGGAAGGGGGACGGGGGTGGCCGGGGCGGCGGTTGCTGGGTCGAGTGCCGAGGGGCTTTTGACAAGTACTGTTAGCTTGCATTATTTGTTGGTGCGGTTGGGGGAGCAGGAGACGGATTTGGTGGTGTTTGTTAATGTGCCGCATGAGGAGTTTGAGAAGGCAGGGGATTTAGGGGGATTAGAGGGTGAGGAGGGACTTGCTGGGGGGTTGATTGGGGGGTTGGTTGAGGTGTTGGAGGTTGTGGATTGGGGCTTGTTTGCGTGAGGGCTTTTTTTGATTCTGGGATGAGCTATGTGGTATGGATAAAAAAGGATGGGTGGTTGATTATTGATTTGGGAGGATTTATATCATATCGGTCGTGGATTCGGCATGGCTGGTTTTGTTTGGAATGCATGAGCTTGGAGAAATTGGTATAATGACATGCATGTATGGATAGAACGAACAGGGATTATGATATGATACTGGGCATGTATATAGATAAATAGAGTAATTAGATAGCTTAGTGATAGTCAATCCAAAAGGACAGCCAAGCACCTGACAATGGTATATACAAACTCATATGTGCTTCGCTGACTGATCTTGCTACTACATAAGGATCGTTGTGTACATCAGATTGAAGAAGGCGTAATATCCCACGTAAATGAGAGGCAGACAGACATATCATCGCTAAAGAGAGAAAGAACATCATAGACAGATATATCGTCACCAAATGAACGCTGAAATGACAGGCAAAATTTCCCGAAATGTGTATATATAATGAGAGACAATCAATTCCATCAACACCTTCCAATGACCGCTTTATCCAAACAGCTATGAGTGTCAGTTACGCAAGTTGATCTCCCCCAGTACGTTCGCAACGTCATCCACGGCTAGTTTCTCGACATCTCCAAGGGGTTGCTTCTTCCGGGGCGAGACATTCCTGGGCTTCGGCTTGATCTGCTGGAGAAGACCTTTGCACTTCCCGCATCGAGATTTAGTGGTGTCGATACTCTTTGAATGGCGTCCGTATGTCTGGCCGCAGTCCACACAGCTCCACACGTACTTGTAGTCAATCTTGTAGCTGTGCTTAGTCGTTACTTCGAATCGTCCGCCATAGACGGGGTGATACTTCAGGGCTTCTTTGCACTTAAGTCCCCATTGCTTGAAACTTGGTCCGTGGGGATTATTGTGAACATTGGAGATCATAAAGCTGGCCAGATGGCAGTATTCATGGGCCAGTGTGTTCAGCAAGCGGTCCTCGTCGTCGATGATCCGCTCAGCCAGTTCGATGTTAGCATGGTGCTTTGGCGAGGGTGCTCCATCTGCTCCAGACATCTCACCCTCCGTCCGCACCTTCTCCCGCTTCCAGTTCGCCCGTCCAGCAGTGGTTTGGAGAGTCTTGCTCCAGATGATCTGAATACCACCAGTTTCCTCTGTCATCTCTTGGATCCGACCGCCAGTGACATGGTCATCTAAGACTTTGAAGAAATCTTCCGCGACAGCGGCTTTTCTATTATCAAAAGACTTTCTACGCGCAAGGGCCGCCTTCTTCTTCTCAATCTCTGCCCTTTTCAGAGCTGTCTTGCTAGGAGCTTTGGCTGGTTTCTGTGTTGCTTTGTTTCTAGGCAAGATGTCAGAATCTACCTCGTTGCCTGACTCTTCGAAATCCTGGAGGAAGTTTTGTAATTTGCGTGGCGAGTGCTGGTCGATCCAGTTGTTTGTAGTTTCCTGGCACCAAAAAGCTTCATCACTCTCACGATACGGTGTGGGTGGAATTCGAGTCTTTCCTTTTGTAGGTGAATTCAGGGTGCTTTTGGAGGGGCTGGCCGGTGGTGTTTTCACATTCACTTGTTCATTGTTACTTTGGAGGCGAGGCTCAAATGCTCCCAGAAAGCTAGTGAAAAGTCAGCATCCTAGACCTTTCTGTGTCTATAGTAACACGAAGACCTACTTGTCCAAATCTTGTTGAAGTTGATAAGACGGATCATCTTCATCTTCATCAACCTCGACGGTAGCATTTTCTTCAACAGGAGCTTCGTCGGCAGTAGCTTCGTCAGCGGTACCTTCATCGGCAACAGTATCGTCATCTTCCAGATCCAGATTGTTCATCTTCTCGGCGATATTGGAAGTGTTCCTGAAGAGCTTTCTTGGACTAGCCTGAGGGGCGGCGGAAGGCATTGAGACTGCAGCTGGTAGGGATGGCTCTAGACGAAGACTGTTATGCTGTGAGCTCTCAAGGGCCTTCTTGATCTCTTCCTCCGGGTTCGGCCGTCTGCCCCTAACCAGTCTCCTTTTGGTTCTAGGGGGAGAAGGCGCCTTTGCGGCCTCTTCGTGTTCTGACTCGCCCCCGGATGTCTCATGGGTGCTAGGCTCATTATTATCACTGACAATGAAATCATCCAAAGAATTGAAGCCATCATCGCTTTCCTCGTCCTCGGACCTATTAATCGGCTGGCGATAGTCCCTAAACTGCCGGCTGTTCTTATTGCGAGCAGGCGTCTGGCGAACAACCCTCCTGGCAGGGGACCGCCGCATCGATGAGGCATCGGACGGGTTCCGACTAATAGAGGATGTAGAAGAGGTAGTAGAGGTAGTTGAAGCAGAAAAATCCTCCACAACCTCCTCCACAGGATAATTCTCCTTGGTATAATCATACAACTCCGATTTCCTCGTCGACCTACTCCTCGACTGCCTCGACTGCGGCATCAGCAGCGAGTTAGCTCGCGCCAACTGCAATGGATCACTAGTACGCCCTTCAGTCGAGGAACGTGTGTCCGAAGACCGTGTAGTTGAAGCAAAAGAAAGATCCTCCCGATCACTCAGTCCATCACTGTCGGAAAAAATATTAAACGTCCCACTCGAGATGGTTCCGCTCCTCTGCAACTTTCTCTGCCGATGGACGGGTTTATCGCTCGTCGTCGTTGTTCTTGAAGTCGTGCGTTTGAACTCCGGCTCGTCAAATAACGTCCCCGATTTGTCTCCCACCTTCGGCGTGGGCGAGGTGTCGCGGAATTTACTTGAGAAGACCGAGCTCGTATTTGATTTCAGTTTTCGAACAGATCTGGTTGTGTTCTCACGAAGGCCGCCTTGCTTGACGGGACTCGTTGTGTTCAGTCGAGCCATTCTCGTTGCCGCTGGTGTATATAGATATGGTGTTGGTAATGCTTGATTCAGCTGGGTTTCAGGGATGTAGATTCAGTATGACATGACAGATATCAGGTTTGACTCGCATAGGTAATGCGGAGATATAAGTAGAGCTGGGTTAGAGATATTGCATGAACTCCAACACTTTCATATTGTGGTGTTGACGATATTAGGTCAGTGGCTGGAGAAGATCGTTGGCATGGCAACGCTTCCTGCTGATCCGAACTTGCACCTAGAGGGAACACCATGACCGCCGATCGATAATTGTGCCTGGTGTTCCCTGAGATTATAGGTATGTCTCTGTGAGGGGACTTGGTACTGGAAGGGGGGAGTGAGTAACAGAATGATTATTGCAGACGCCCAGGTGTACTTAGTGAAAAATGTGAACAATATTTAGATTCTCTGCGCGTAACGGAGTAGAACAGTTAAAGTAAAAGAAAAAAAAGTGTACAAAATAAAATGAAGGCCCGAGCCGCGGATCGAACGCGGGACCTCTCGCAGATATGCTTGGGTTATTTCCCTAAGCGAGAATCATACCACTAGACCACCCGGGCTTCTTGTTGAGCAATGTCCTAATTCTATGTATTCCAAGCCTCCTTGTGCATATCCCAGGCACAAATTTCTATTCGCTCAACACCTCAGTTACCTCTAGTCTATTAGGGAAAAAAGTTGAGTGACGATCTTCCTCTAGCGTATTCTACACATATTGTACGCATAATAGCTCTAATACCTAGGGGAACTTATCTCGAATCATTCTCCGTGTAGATCTGTGTCACATTTCGCGGTGGTCCCATGTAACCGTGCTATATATTTATATTGGGTGTGCCAATATTGGAGTAATCACAACAGTCCCTGAGACGCCCCCATATCGTTGGATACGTTATGCATATGCAGCCAAGAAGCACCGAAAACAAAGTAGCTCCTCCGAGGCGACCCATGTACCACCCCAAGTCCTATAGCAACGAATCCAAACAGCCAAAACAAGCTGTACACTAACTACCTTGATTGTGTCCCCATCCCCTAGGCTTATTGAACATGGTCTGATCTAGAATATTTGAGTCCTGAATTAGAAATGTGTGGACTGGGAGCCGTACAGGCCCAGCCCATGGGTAGATTTGGCGCCTACCCATACGTCTCATGACCAGGGACAGAGTTACTGCGCGCCCATCTAGTAAGTACCGGACAACAAACACATCCCGGTCTAGAAATATAGGGATCTCAGGCGAAACAAGAATAGAAAAGAGAAAACGACCGCAAAAGTTTCCAGCAGCACTACCCAACCCCAAGGCAGGCCGCTACTACACAATTCAATCCACAACTATGGATGACCTCGAGAATGGAAAAGGCAAATGCCCTACACCCCAAGCACTATATAAGTTCAATATAAAGATCCCATTGAGAAAGGAAGTTTTACTGCCGAGGACATACAAAAAGAGTACTGCAAGTCACAGAGGCACGCAGCAAAGGTAGCCGGCCACGTAGGGCTAGAGTCCCACTGCCAGGAGAGAAGGAATGAACGTGCCTTACAGGACGATCATGCCGGCGCCGGCAACCATAGCCGTAACCACGTACGCACCAAGCTGAAAGACACCGACGTTGACGGCAGAAGGAGTAATCATACCACCAGCAGCCCCGGAGCTAGACGCAGCGGCACCGGAGGCGCCGGAGCCAGCAGTACCTGTGGGAGAGGAAGTGACAGTGCCAGTGCCAGAAGTACCGGCCTCCTTGAGGAGAGCAGAGCAAGCACTTCCGCCGCTCTTAGCGCTCTTGGTGGTGGCAGATCCGTCGAAGTCACAAGCATTATCGCCATTGCCTTTCGACTTCTGCTGCTCGTAGTACAGGTTTATGGCATAGGACAGCTGCTGCTGAGGCGTACATACACTGTAAGCGCCATATTTACCGGTGGTGGCGTTGGTGGTGATTCCATCGCAGACATCGTAACCGCAAACGGTTCCAAATAGCTTATCCAGCTTCTCGCCAGATACCTTGTCCTTCAGAGAGCAGGTCAAACTCTGTTCCATGCAGGAGCAGAGGTCTTGGTTCGGGGAGGGAGGCAGCGGGCTGGATGTTGCGAGCCACTTGCCGTCAACAGTGGGACAAGACTGAAGAGCCGTGTTTGATGGCTTATACTCGCCCTTCTTGGTGCCTGATGGGGTGGCGCTGGCCAACTCCTTGGAAAGGTAGCTGAAGTCCGCCTTGGTGCTAACCTTGTTGCCATCAACAGACACCAGACCTAGTGGTAGTTAGCCAAGACATCATGACAAGAATCAATGTTAACCCACCATAGTTGTTATCTTCCTGGAAGTACATGTACACAATACCCCCAGACCAGACATCAGCCATTTGGTCTCCATAGAGTGCCTTGACTTCGGTGAACTTGCGAGGTTGGACTGCATTGCAGCCGTACTCAGCAAAGAACACAGGGACGGTATAGTCTTTGAATTCTTCAGTACGAGATTTGTATCCAGACTTCTCATAGTTGGAGTCGCCGCACCAGGAGTATACGTTGTAGCCCCAGAAGTCGATACTATCATCGGCACTGTTACAGTTAAAATAGTTGGCCATATTTTTACGGATGCTCGAGTCATCGCTAGTCGCGTAACCAACACCCATTGGACGATAATTCTTGGCCTTAATATACTGCTTTGTATCACGAACAGCGGCCTTGACGAAGGCACTAGCAGCCGTGGTATTCTCACTGTTGGAGACCTCATTTCCGGCGAAGAACCCAATGACATTAGAGTATTGTGACAGCTCATCAACCACTGTCACGTATCTGTTGTACAGGTCGTTATCCCACTTGGGTTCGTTGCGATTGATCGATTCACCTGGGGAGGATAGATCCGCAATGACGTAAATGCCAGCATCGCTGAGAAGGCTCATGCACTCCTTATGATCTGACGAAGGGTCGATAGCATAGACACGAATGGCATTGGTGCCCAGCTTTTCAAGGTATGGAACATCACGCTTGCAAGCATCGGCGTCGGCCAGAGGGTCCTTGAAGCTGCTGGCGGACGAATCGGAGCCAGAATACTCCTCTGCAACGAATCAGCCTATGCATTATGTTAATGATAGTACGGACGACGGAAACTCACGCTGATAGGCAACACCACGGATGTAACTGGGAATTTTGTCAGTACCACTTGAAGCAAAGGTTCCTTCCACATAGGGTTTACAAACAATTGCGTGTCGTTGCTCTTATAGAAGAATTTGGAGCCCTTGATAATGATTGGATCCAGGTCAGCAGCAATGACACTGCTGGCAAAGAGGGTCGCGCCCACGAAAATGCTGGACAACTTCATACTGAATGCGTGGAGAGACGCTATAAAAAAAAGGATACGTGAGACTGCCAGACACCAAACCAGGCTTCCAGATCAAAATTCACTTGCGTCTCACACGTTAGAGATGAATAATTTGACTTAACACAGGAATGAACGGTTGAAACTAGGGTATTAACGTTTTAGAGAGTGAACGAGAGACCATAAATAAGGAATGACTGTAAATCTGTAGATAAAAGGAGAGTAATGATTAAATGAAAAGGAACTCTAGCTTCTAATGGGTATCCAACCACAAAATAATCGCCACGACGATGTGTCTAGGGTAGGGTCTCTGCAGGTTCTTCTATAGGCATGACTGGTGGGCATTCAGGGTTCAGGGATTTCAGGGATAAAGGCCTCAATCGCCCGCTTCTCTGGGGCGACGAGAAGTAGAGAGCGGGACGGGATAGACAGAAACCCACAATTGCCTTCCTTTAAGGATATAATAATACGATGATCACTGGTGATATTCAGTGATATTCCTACCTGGCGGCTGTCATTTGCTCGGACACATCGTGCATAGATGGGTTGATATCAGAGGCCTCAGGAACGCGCAATCCCGGTCCACATTGGAAACAGATCAGAGGGGTTGATGCTGTCTAAGTAAAAGCTTAACGGCGCACCCAACTAGGAGTGATATATATAGAGAGAAGGCTGAGAAAAAAAAGCCGGCCCCAGCTTTGTTCCACAGTCAACTCTGATCACATCACCATTATACTGAGTATGGCTGCCCGGGCTATGGGTTCCATTCCGAAGCTAAGCAGGAGGCCATGACTTGGGTAGTCCGATTAAGCTCAGAATGCCCACTGTAATGGCCGTGCGACCGTAGTCCTGTATCCACTGTATGTGGCCGACACGGGTCACCAGATGCGGTATATCTGTCTCTTTATCGAGAATTGCATCCAAGAAACCCCCGAGGACGGCTGCACAGGCGCTTGTGCACATCGGCTCTTGCGGAGCAGCAACATTATGGTGTGGTACAGAATGGTACCTGTCGCTGCATCCGGGATATGCGGTGGGAGCTGAGTATGCTTCTTGCATGTAGCTTTTCCCGAAAAATGTTGATCCTGGAAGGTTCTTGGAAAGCCATAGTCAGGTACCGTGGTCTAGCATTTGTGGCGAAGTACCATCTTTGAGACTGTGAGTGGCAGGTAGCGATTGTAGATCCATATTTCCCTGGACGGTAGAGCGTCCTTTTGATGACGATCTTTCCTACTCTGTCAGTGGACCAGGGCTCAGTATGAAACCTTTTGGATGATCAGATACATGATCACGGCTAAGGAAACAAGCTTATCTAAGTTGGAATTCTTTTTGTTTTGAGGCCCTAGCTAGTACCGTTGAATGCCGGTGTTGTCCACTGAGGTTGGACGCCGGAATACTTTGTCATCACGGGTCAATGACAACGAAGTTTAGATCCAAGTCACGACTCGATGTTTGCTTGGATTGTTGTAGGTGTTATGTAATCGCCCGACCGGGTTAGAAAAAGCCTACCCGACGTTTGGTGGAGTACATACAGCGACAAGAACAGGGAAAACAAAAAATTTGAAAGAAAAGGGTGTAACCTAACGATTACATGGGGAATAATTAATGACGACGATTATACGGAGTAAATAGGTAATGAGGTTTTTTATTTTTTATTTTTTATTTCTTTTTTTAATTATGATACCTCCCTATACCAATCAGAGAGGGCCGACTGTTGATGATCCCCAAAGCTGAAACTTGAAGGCCCCCTTTTCCCACCTTTGACCAAGGGCTGGACCATTCAAAGGCCTCCTTAAGAGTATTAACCGCTGGCCGTTATAGGTGAGTCAGTTTGCCACCCGCGGGATTGTGGCGCCCGATTGGCTGCTAGTCACACCCAACCCCCCGCTGCGATTTAAACAGAAAAGAAAGATGGAAGGAGATTCACGGATTGGACGAGATCATGAATAGTCTGATGAAGCTGGCAAATCAGTCCATACCGTGATCTCCTGTGGGCTGTAGTAAGTATGGAGTATGAGAGTGTGGATGCAGCTATGTGGTATTATAATGATAGGTAATTCTACTAGTATTCCAAGACTTTTTTTTTGCGCTTGTAAATAAGAAATTGTACGGGAACGTATCCACATCCTCAATTTTGCTTGTTTTCCCACCGATTTCTCTTCTAGAATACAGATAGTGAACCCTATGGCAGGGTCTATATAGGTAGCCCGTTCATACGGCAATCCACTTTTGAATCCAATCCATTCGTACGGAATAGTGATCTGTAGCGACGGGTCTAGATTGCGAGCCAGAAGAAAATCGAAAAGCTTGATAGGAGGTACAGGGCGATAAATAAGCTGGCATCACTCTACAAGGGCAGGGTTGTGAAAGATCCACTTATCACCTGTCTCCGGACCTGTCGGGCGCATTACTCGTATGTACGGAAGTACTTTTGATGCATAGTACATACAGACTTACGACTCGGAGAATCCCCTACAGCCAAATAAGGTCTTTTAGCTTTGCCACTGAAAAATAAGCTTGGACAAGAGAAAATTCAGCTAGCGGTTCATATCAAACACACTGGAAAAGGAAATTCGAAAGTTCATCATTATAGGTAGCATTTGGTTCCATGGGTCCGAACCGAGGAGATCTCAACAGCGATTATCGCCGTTTAGATATTTTTGGAAACTTTCAGATGCATGGGTGTTTTTGGCAAAGTTGAATTATTCATTCCACTCCCTGTCTAAATATATAACTGTACTATCCGTACTATTACTATTAGCACCTTTCCCCTTCCTCTTGCTCGGTAGATGTACACTTCATATATGGATTACCTGTGTAATGGTGATCCATCGAAAAGAAGAAGGGAAAAAAAGAAGAAAACAAAAAAAAAAAAAAAAAATAGCATCATCGAGTGCGTGTCTGTAAATGTATGAGTCTCCAGCTTTCCATACGATGCGGTGGGGCTACCAGTGGAAATGGTTCATTTTGACTGGATGGATTACAGATCAATTTTAGCTAATGAGGAATCAACCTTTTAGGTACAAAAGAGTCGAGCACATGTGCAACTCGCATGGAACAGGACAAATCCTATTATTGAATGGTACGTAATTACTGGCCGAAAAGAGAGCAAGCTAAATGCGATCTAATCAGGTTTGCTTCCTAGGTCAGAAATGTGTACACTGTATGTGGGGTACTGTAACTGTTCTCAAATCCTTACTGGTCGGATGCCGCTATATGCCAGTACAATATGCTTTGGACTACTAACTAGTAGTTGTGGTTGTTGCTTGGTGTCCTTTGAATGATCGTTGGCTGCAGTAGAATATATCTAGTAAGGTTTGATTATGGAGCTCAGAGACTGTTCCTGGAATAATCTTTTTGCAACAGCCGCGAGCAATAAATACACAGAATGTTCTGTACTTCTGCAACAAAATACCTGTTGGATTCTATCCATATATACCACAAGCATGTCTAGTCCGAGAAGGACCGGAATGCAGAGAGAATATCACTTCCTAATGGTTCTAGTAATACTCCTAATTTTAAGACCGGATATGTCCTGGATTAGAGCTTACGGCTCGGATTGCTTTGTACCTAGAATGAGCGATTAACAAGACAATAACTTTCCATTGCTTAAGGTGTTCTCACCTTTGATGGCAACCCAGGAACCCATGGGTCTATCCCCGCTTTTTTTTTTCCTGCCCCTCCAAAGACCGGTTTTTTACACAATCCATCGGGGAGTAGATTGTCATTGAATGTTAGCCTAACCAACCGAAGATACAAAAAGGCTAACCCATTCATGGGAGTTCGGAGACAAGCTATGTGCTGAAAGCATGGGTTCTACTGTAGCTCCAAGGAGCCAAGAAAACACAATGACCTATCTGGATCTACCTAGTGTAGGTCGGAGAGATTAGAACTACTAATCGGGATCCAGTCAGGTCCCCTCTAGATGTAAGGATATAGAATGTCTTGTCACATAGAATGAAAATAGAAAATAAATCAATCAATCAAACGGTTGATGCGGACCCTTTGTCTTATTCTTCAGAGTGTTGTTCTCTAAGGAGACGCAGTGTGCTGCTAAATTTGGACTGTAGCCAAGGCTGTCTTGGTCATGCCTTGCTTGTGTGTGTCGCATATGTCTTAATGTACAAATTTGTTTTCCATTTATTGGATGACATATATGTGCTATGTAGTAGTACAAAATTCAGTGGCAAGGAGGAAGGAATCAATATTTGAATATCTCATGGAAGGTTTATCGGTGGCAATTATTCTACCCAGCGTGGGGTTCTGGTAATGTAATCGACTGTATGGCACTTTATCCATGAACCTAGTGCCCTATACAATAGCTAGTAACCCCCCCTTTCAAAGGTATCGATATTGGCCGTTGACAGCATTATTAATCGCCGTGCCATAAAAAGAACATCTATTTTGAATAGGTAGACTTGTCTGTATTGCCCCTCCCCCCTTTTTTCCTTTCTTTCTTTTCCTATCTCCTGTCATTCCCTCACCCTTCTTTTCAATAACCAGAAGATACCCCGTTGGGGTCACCCTTACTACTGGGTTGTAGTTGGTTCAGGAACAGGAATGACCCATGGATAAAAGTTGTCCGTACCGGAGAACCTCCATCCATGGGAAGGAGATACGTATGCGAGAGCCACAGTTAGGATCATAATAAACAATGTGGTACGGAAGTAGACTATTCTGCATAGCGACGCGTTCATGACACTTACCATTGTTGCAGTGGCAGTAGGAAATCAAGGTTAAAGAGGAATGAGCCATAGACATCCCTGCATACTTCCTGGTGGGAAATACGAAACATTACCCATTAAACCGTACAGTACCGCTGGTATGAAAGTGGTAACAGTGTTTTGTCGTAGGTTATCCGCGTGGGGCCTATTTGCTGAGGCTGGGAGTGGGTCAGGTTTCAGGGGGGCCGCCGCCAGCTTCCATGGATTCCGGACTAAAGCAACCAATAATACCTTATCAATCCATCACTAAAATTTGGCCAGTTCAGAAAACCAGGTTACTGCGTTGATTCAACAACATGAGACTAGTTTCGCATCCATTGGAGAGAGGGGGATTATGCCCCAGAGCTTGTAAAAAAAAAAGGTGCAAGTAATCAAGCCCACAGTTTGTAGTGTACTACATCTTCAACCGTTCAAATATGGTGTAGTGTACACAACTTTTGTGGGTAATGGGAGTTGTGGATGGAATTGGTGAGGGGCGGGCCGAAAACAGTACCTTTACGTACCTGCGGTACGGAACCAAGTCAGTACCTGCTTTGGTACAGCTCATACTGAATGCACATACATACCTAAATTCGATGGTTGAGGAGGGAGCTGCAAACCGATTGAAGATAACAGTGTATGTAACCTCCAGCTTAGTTCAACTCAAATATCTTGATTGACTGGTAGCCACTATCATGTATGGGCCAATGATTTAAGGGGGTGGAAAAGCAATCTGGAGAAACTTTCCAATCAGGAGAGGTTGCTGAGGTGTCCAGATCCTGGGAGATTTGATGATAGTAGGTAATGGAATACACCTCCTAATACCAGAGTGGTATCCATGCGCCGGGTGCGGTAATACCAAGTACGAATAATGGGGGGAATTGTCCACTCACCGGTGTAGAGTAAACATTTTCCCACTGAAATTTATTTCGATTGGGTGTAGGATCTAACCTGCGAACAGATTTGTGTATCACTTTACCAGACACGGACGGGAGGGGGAATTGTTGCCTCTGAGTAGGGTAATTTGTGGGTACCTTCTCCGGTACAGGTAAGGTACGGATAGGCAGGTACTGTCGCGAAGTAAATTGAGCAGATCCAGATCCCAAAATAACCACCAGGCCCCATAGTCACCAGTATTTTTCCTATTCCCTGCTGAGTTTCGGGTTGACAATCGATTCCCTTTTCACTACTAATCGTCCAACTCAAACACTATTCTCTCCCTCCCTTCCCTTTCGACCATCGCTTGGGTTCTTTCCTTTCCTTTCCTGTCCCTTCAACTTCATCTCTGGGTTCCTGTTCACTCTTTTATTGATTTTACATTCAAGGGCACGACTTTGTTGTTTTTCTCAGTTTCTCCGGTTTTGTCCCTTTTCTGAGTTTCTTGACGACTGCCGTCTGGACTCCTTTCCTTCTTTCACGCTTTCGTTTGAGGAAGAAGAGGGAAGTTAGTCCTAGACCGAGACAGGTTCTAGCCTAGTATCTGTCTAGGTTCTTAATCCGTCTTCTGCATCGTTATTCCGTTCCCCTTCCATTCGTTTGCAACACCACTCGAGTAACGACTGTACGGCTCTTAAGCCCATCGAAAAGTGCGAAGTAATCCTAATTGTCATATTGGTCGATTTTAGCGTTTCACGATCGGGGACTGGCACCTCAACGACTTGTCGGCTTCGAAATTGTTCACCTCGTGTCGACATCGTCCCTCGTTCCTCTGCATCTTCCAATCCCGAGCCCTCCGCTGATGCAGGAAAATAGAGAATAGAACAACTGAATTATTTGATGGACCACTGCTAAGGTGAGTGCGACGACGGCACCCTACCCATTGTTGAGCTGGGACCCACGTGGCTGATGTACTGGTAGCTATAACCGCTCGGTAATTGTGCCCTTTCAGCATGTCAGGCTATAACCAAGGCCAAGGCCAAGCCCAAGGCGGGCATTACGATGATGGCTACGGCCAACATGGTGGCCACGGGGATTCCTATTACCAGGATGATCATCACGGCCAAGCTTACTATGATCCCAATGATTATGGCGACGGGTACTATGATAGAGGGTATGTTATGGATGCTAGTGACTGTCCTAGGGGACCCTTAATGGTGACTGATATTCAACAGAAACTACTACGCCGAAGGTGGAAATGGCTACCACCAGGACGGTGATGGATACTATGATGCTGGTCACCAGGATAATTACTACGGTGACCCTTACTACGACCAAGGGAATGGTCAGCAGAGGGGAAGGCGCCGTGGTGATTCAGAGGAAGATTCGGAAACATTCAGTGATTTTACCATGAGATCCGAAACGGCTCGCGCAGCGGACATGGACTACTACGGTCGTGGGGATGAACGTTACAACAGCTATGCCGACAGTCAGTATGGAGGACGTGGGTATGGCTATCGGCCCCCTTCTTCCCAGATCTCCTACGGAGGCAATCGGTCATCCGGAGCATCGACACCCGTCTATGGCATGGACTACGCCAATACCCCTGCCGGTCAGCGATCTCGGGAGCCGTACCCGGCGTGGTCGTCTGATGCCCAAGTTCCTGTTTCCAAGGAGGAGATTGAGGACATCTTTCTTGATTTGGTGAACAAATTCGGTTTTCAGAGGGACAGCATGCGTAACATGTATGATCACCTCTTGACACAATTGGACTCACGTGCCTCTCGTATGACGCCAAACCAGGCATTGCTTTCCTTGCATGCCGACTATATCGGTGGTGACAACGCAAACTACCGCCGTTGGTACTTTGCCGCCCACCTTGACCTCGATGATGCCGTAGGATTTTCGAATATGAAGTTGGGCAAGGCCGATCGAAAGACAAGAAAGGCTCGCAAGGCAGCTCAAAAGAAAGCGCAGGAGAATCCAGAGAATGTGGACGAGACTCTTGAGGCCCTGGAGGGCGATAACAGCCTTGAAGCTGCAGAGTATCGATGGAAAACTCGGATGAACCGGATGTCCCAGCATGACAGGGTGCGGCAACTGGCGTTGTACCTGCTCTGCTGGGGTGAGGCCAATCAGGTCCGGTTCTTACCTGAGTGCCTCTGCTTTATTTTCAAGTGCGCGGATGACTACTATTCCTCGCCAGAATGCCAAAATCGGGTTGAGCCTGTCGAGGAGTTCACCTATTTGAACGAAATCATTACACCTCTCTATCAGTATTGCCGCGACCAGGGCTACGAGATCCTGGACGGGAAATACGTGCGGCGAGAGCGCGATCATAACGAGATCATCGGATATGATGACATGAATCAACTTTTCTGGTACCCGGAGGGTATTGAGCGAATCGTGTTCGAAGACAAGACACGCCTGGTTGACATCCCAACCGCAGAAAGATGGACCAAGCTGAAGGATGTCCACTGGAAGAAGGTGTTCTTCAAGACATACAGGGAGACCAGATCTTGGTTCCATATGATCACCAATTTCAACCGTATCTGGGTCATTCACTTGGGTGCTTTCTGGTTCTTCACGGCCTACAACGCTCCGACATTGTACACGAAAGGCTACCAGCAGCAGCTCAACAACAAGCCACCTAATTCATACTACTGGTCTGCAGTTGGATTCGGTGGCGCTCTCGTGAGTTTCATCCAAGTACTCGCTACTCTATGTGAATGGATGTACGTGCCTCGACGTTGGGCTGGTGCCCAGCACCTGACCAAGCGTTTGTTCTTCCTGCTATTCGTGTTTATCATCAACCTGGCCCCAGGTGTGATTGTCTTTGGCTTCCACAAGCAGCTCAAGGAAACTATTTGCCTTATCATTGGCATCGTTCACTTCATCATTGCCCTAGTGTCGTTTTTCTTCTTTGCTGTTATGCCTCTTGGTGGTTTGTTCGGTAGCTATCTGAAGAAAGGTGGCCGTCAGTACGTCGCCAGTCAGACATTCACTGCCAGTTGGCCACGCCTGCGAGGCAACGACATGTGGATGTCCTACGGTCTTTGGGTTTGTGTTTTTGGAGCTAAACTGGCAGAGTCATACTTCTTCTTGACCTTGTCTTTCAAGGACCCTATCCGGATTCTTTCCCCTATGCAGATTAAGTACTGCGTCGGTGTCACGTATATCGGGTCCAAACTCTGCCACTATCAACCGCAGATTTTACTAGGCCTGATGTTCTTCATGGATTTGACCCTTTTCTTCCTGGATAGCTACCTCTGGTACATTATTTGCAACACAGTCTTCTCTGTTGCAAGGTCTTTCTATCTAGGTGTTTCTATCTGGTCCCCATGGAGGAATATCTTTTCTCGTCTGCCGAAGCGTATCTACTCGAAGGTCCTTGCTACAACGGATATGGAGATCAAGTACAAGCCAAAGGTTCTGATTTCGCAAGTCTGGAATGCGATCATCATTTCCATGTATCGCGAGCATTTACTGGCTATTGACCATGTCCAGAAGCTCCTGTACCACCAAGTACCTTCTGAACAAGAGGGTAAACGGACTCTGCGTGCGCCTACTTTCTTCGTCTCACAGGAGGATCAGTCCTTCAAGACGGAGTTCTTCCCACCTGGAAGCGAAGCTGAGCGTCGTATCTCTTTCTTCGCTCAGTCTCTCTCTACCCCAATGCCCGAGCCCCTGCCGGTTGACAACATGCCTACTTTTACAGTCCTTATTCCGCACTACGGCGAAAAGATCCTCTTGTCACTCCGTGAAATTATCCGTGAAGATGAGCCGTATTCCCGTGTCACTTTGCTGGAGTACCTCAAGCAGCTGCATCCTCATGAGTGGGACTGCTTTGTCAAGGACACGAAGATCTTGGCAGATGAAACTTCCCAATTTAACGGCGAAATGGAGAAGACTGAAAAGGATGTTGCCAAAAGCAAGATTGATGATCTCCCATTCTATTGCATTGGATTCAAGTCAGCCGCTCCGGAATACACTCTCCGTACACGTATTTGGTCTTCTCTGCGGTCTCAAACCCTCTATAGGACTATTTCTGGCTTCATGAACTACAGCCGTGCCATCAAGCTCCTCTATCGTGTCGAGAACCCGGAGGTTGTGCAAATGTTTGGTGGTAATTCTGAGAAGCTGGAACGCGAATTGGAAAGGATGGCACGCCGCAAGTTCAAGATTTGTGTCTCCATGCAACGGTATGCCAAGTTCAACAAGGACGAACGTGAGAATACCGAATTCTTGCTCCGTGCCTACCCCGACCTTCAAATTGCCTACCTTGATGAGGAACCGCCAGCCAACGAAGGCGAAGAACCTCGGTTGTATTCCGCGTTGATTGACGGACACTGCGAGCTTCTCGATAACGGAATGCGGAAGCCCAAGTTCAGGATCCAATTGTCTGGCAACCCCATTCTGGGCGATGGAAAGTCTGACAACCAAAATCACGCCATTATCTTCTATCGTGGTGAATACATCCAGGTCATTGACGCCAACCAGGATAACTATCTTGAAGAATGCTTAAAGATTCGCAGCGTTCTCGCGGAGTTTGAGGAATTGACAACCGACAACGTCTCGCCTTACACGCCTGGTATCCCCTCGTCGGACACCACCCCTGTTGCCATCCTTGGTGCCCGTGAGTACATTTTCTCCGAAAGTGTTGGTGTTCTTGGTGATGTTGCTGCTAGTAAGGAACAAACATTCGGTACTCTGTTCGCTCGTACACTTGCCGAGGTCGGTGGTAAGCTGCATTATGGTCACCCAGATTTCCTTAACGGCATTTTCATGTGCACCCGAGGTGGTATCTCGAAAGCCCAAAAGGGTCTTCATTTGAACGAAGATATTTATGCCGGTATGACCGCCATGCTCCGTGGTGGTCGCATTAAGCACTGCGAGTACTTCCAGTGTGGTAAGGGTCGTGATCTTGGTTTTGGCTCCATTCTTAACTTCACAACCAAGATTGGTACTGGTATGGGCGAACAAATGCTCTCGCGAGAGTATTATTATCTTGGTACACAGCTTCCCCTCGATCGGTTCTTGTCCTTCTACTATGCGCACCCTGGCTTCCATCTTAACAACATGTTCATCATGCTATCTGTGCAGATGTTCATGATCGTTTTGATTAATTTGGGAGCGCTGAAACATGAGACCATCACTTGCAAATACAACAAGAACTTGCCGATTACAGATCCTCTACGTCCGACCTACTGTGCAAACCTTGTGCCTGTCATTGACTGGGTTAACCGCTGTGTCATCTCCATCTTCATCGTCTTCTTCATCTCTTTCGTTCCTTTAGCGGTTCAAGAACTTACAGAGCGAGGAGTTTGGCGTATGGCCACACGTCTCGCAAAGCACTTCGGCTCTTTCTCATTCATGTTTGAGGTGTTCGTTTGCCAGATCTACGCCAATGCTGTCCATCAGAACTTGTCATTTGGTGGCGCTCGTTATATCGGTACCGGCCGTGGTTTTGCAACGGCTCGTATTCCCTTTGGCGTCCTCTACTCACGTTTCGCCGGACCTTCCATTTATGCCGGTGCCCGGTTGCTTCTTATGCTTCTTTTCTCCACCTCTACTGTTTGGAGTGCGGCCCTGATTTGGTTCTGGGTTTCGCTGCTTGCTCTTTGCATTTCTCCGTTCCTGTTCAACCCACATCAATTCGCTTGGCATGATTTCTTCATTGACTACCGTGATTACCTGCGCTGGCTGTCTCGCGGAAACTCACGGTCCCACGCGTCTTCTTGGATCGCCTTCTGCCGACTGTCGCGTACTCGAATCACAGGTTACAAGCGGAAGCTCCTCGGTGTTCCGTCTGAGAAGGGATCTGGTGATGTACCCAGAGCACGCATCACGAACATCTTCTTCAGCGAGATCGTCGCACCTTTGGTCTTGGTTGCTGTTACGTTGGTTCCCTACCTCTACATCAACTCCAGAACTGGAACAATGGACCCAAAAGACCAAAAACCGAAAAATGCTATTGTCAGAATTGCTATCGTGGCCTTCGGTCCCATCGCCATCAACGCTGGTTGCGCGGGTATGTTCTTTGGCATGGCATGCTGCATGGGCCCAATTTTAAGCATGTGCTGCAAGAGGTTCGGTGCGGTGCTCGCCGCCATCGCGCACGCTGTCGCGGTCATTATCCTACTTGTTATCTTTGAGGTCATGTTCTTCCTGGAAGGTTGGTCTTGGCCTAGGTGCGTGATGGGTATGATCGCCGCTGCCGCTATCCAACGGTTCGTCTACAAGCTCATAATCTCGCTGGCTTTGACTCGTGAGTTCAAAAACGATCAGTCCAATATTGCCTGGTGGACTGGAAAGTGGTACAGCATGGGCTGGCATTCGATTTCCCAGCCCGGCCGTGAGTTCCTTTGCAAGATTACAGAGTTGGGCTATTTCTCTGCCGACTTCGTCCTTGGCCACCTACTTCTGTTCATTATGTTGCCCGCGCTCTGCATACCGTACATTGACAAATTCCACTCGGTTCTTCTCTTTTGGTTGCGTCCAAGGTAAGTTGACTCTTCCCCGCCCTCGCGGTTTCCTTAGCAGCAATACCTTCTAACTTGTGATACTAGTCGTCAAATTCGACCTCCGATCTACTCTTTGAAGCAGTCTAAGCTGCGCAAGAGAAGGGTTGTCCGCTTCGCCATTTTGTACTTCGTGATGCTCGTCCTGTTCCTCGTTCTCCTCATCGCACCGCTTGTTGTTCGCCACATGGATATCAATCTTCCCAGCATGCCAATGGATCTCATGCAACCTCTTGACAGCAACAACAACAACACCATTGAGGGATACACTGGCCCTGGACTTCCAAACGGCAAAACAGCAATATCGGAATCAGCTTCCGCTGCCGCTACTACCTCCTAGAGGGTCTGCGTTTGCTTGCCGAAATTACGTTTTACTACTGCCTTCTTTTTAGTCTCGGAACGGATTCATGAAAATGAGCTGTATAAAGTATCCAGCGTCTTGAAGTAGCTGCTGTGTCATACATTTTGTCTTTGTTCTTTTACCTGACTCTTTTGAAGCTTTGCGTGTGCAGCTCTGTTGCCGCTCAAGTTTAATGCATTATATTTGTTGACCGTTTTCTGTATTCTCACGGTGTTGTGTTTTCCATATGCGATCATTAGACTTGTGAATTTGTGTATTGTTCCCTTTGTGCCCTACCCATCATTTATCCTTCATTCCCAATTAAGTTCCGTTTTTTCTGTCGTTGATCAGAAGATTGGATGATATTCCCGTAGTTGCTCTCTCGAGGTAGACCGCCACTTAGAGTGCCGTAATTCGTACGTCCTCCACATACCAGACGTACCTTGGGGATAGATGCGGAAGGTCCTCCTATCCCCAGACTGTTAGGCTTCCGCGATTCGGGTTTTATGTGGTGGGGGCCTGAGGACTGCGTCCAGTCGGTGCCTTGCGGAAGTGATCAGATCAGTCCATGGCATCACGTGCTCTCCCGTCTTGACCAACCCGGGCCCATCGCGACAACTCTCCGAAGACCGTCATTGTCGTTAGTTCGTCGATAAATACTTGATTTTGATAAAGAGGCTCTGATACACCTCCTCCAAGACTTCGTTTCAGATCATCTGCGCTCCTGGCGCCGCGTTCTCTACCTCTATCATGGAGATCCAGGAGACTCAGCGTCTCCTTTCGGAGTATCTCCATGAACTTGCAAACCTATTTCATCGCGTTCCAGGCTCCGCAATCTTTCTTCGCTACGTAAAGTCCAGCTATCAGAATGATCCTATTCGTTCTGCAGTTGAGCTGTTTCTTTTCCTGTTTGCGGTCCGCTATTTGCTCGCTCCCAAGTATTCGACTAAGCCTGGAGTGGTTCAACTCTCTGAGGATGAGATTGATGACTTGGTAGATGAGTGGACTCCAGAACCGCTAGTCGGAAAACCAACAGCTTTAGAGGAGATGGAGGTGGATAAGAGGACGGTAATTGTCGGGTAAATCTCTGAAGCCCTTGCTAAGGGATGTCCAATTGTACCTGTCAATGCTGATTGATCATCGTGGTCTGTGTAGCCCCGTCGGTCCCAAATCGAAATTGGCCAATGGCCGAACAGTCGTTAACCTTGGCTCCTACAACTTTTACAACTTCAATACCAATGAATCGCTGAAAGAGAAGGCCATCCAGACGCTCCGTAATTATGGCGTCGGTCCTTGCGGGCCCCGAGGATTCTACGGCACCCAAGATGTTCATTTGAAGACGGAAGCGGATGTTGCCTCATTTCTGGGCACCGCATCTTGTATCATTTACTCCCAGGCTTTTTCCACCATTTCGAGTGTTATTCCCGCATTCTCCAAGCGTGGAGATATTATTGTTGCAGATAAGGGCGTCAACTTCGCTATCCGGAAAGGAATTCAGATCTCTCGTAGTATGGTTCGGTGGTATGAGCATAACGACATGGAAGATCTGGAGAGGGTTCTTGCCAAAGTCACTAAAGAACAAGCGAGAAAGCCACTCACGAGACGCTTCATCATCACGGAAGGCTTGTTTGAATCGTACGGTGACATGGTAGACTTGCCCAAGATCGTATGCGCTCCAGGAATTTTCACCCCTCATAAGCAGGGTTGACCGACATGGGCTAATGAGGATCACAGATTGAACTTAAACTGAAGTACAAGTTCCGACTTATCCTCGATGAGTCCTGGTCGTTTGGTGTCCTCGGTAGGACCGGCCGTGGCGTGACAGAGCACCAAAACGTGGATGCAGCTGAGGTTGATATGATTGTGGGCTCGCTGGCCGGCCCATTGGTTGCGGGCGGAGGCTTCTGCGCTGGATCGGAAGAGATCGTTCACCACCAGCGCATTTCTGCCGCCGCTTATACGTTCTCGGCAGCGCTGCCTGCCCTTCTATCGACAACCGCTAGCGCCACAATCAATATCCTTCAGAACAGCCCCGAAACAATATCACAGCTGCGGGAGCATACCAAGACCATGTGGGCACAGCTAGACCCCCGTAGTGACTGGGTACACTGTATCAGTGCGCCCGAAAATCCTATCATGATCCTGGTTCTCAAGCCTGACGTGATTGCGGCTAAGAGGTTGTCAGTTGAAGACCAACACTTTCTGCTGCAAGATGTGGTGGATGAGGTACAGAATTTCCAATCAGCATTGCTATATGTTGTCAATTGCTAACTTTCTCGGCATAGTGCCTTGCAAATGGTGTCCTCATCACCCGCCTCAAAACCCTATTAGACAACTTTGAACCGAAGCAGGTCGTTTATCCAGCACTGAAAGTATGCGTTACGATCGGTTTGACGAAGAAGGAGATTGAAAAAGCTGGAACCACTATCCGTCACGCTATAACGAAAGTTCTAAGCAAAAAGAAGTAGCCCTTGCGATTGCAGCTTTCCAAAAAGGATTCGGGCACGAAAATTTGATGCCCTCATCGTTTCATTACGCCATGCCTTGTTTATCCCATTCACACCTTGTAAACCTTTTTTCTACACTGGTTTTGTACAGCATAGCTTTCAACTGGACAGTCTGCGTGCTATAAATGGGTTCAGAGACCTTGGGGAGGTACCATGCAAGTGATAGCTCTTATCATCCTGCCGAAATATCTTCCCCGAATCTTGGACCTTTGCTAATGTTTTCTTTTTCTCATTCCTTTGAGAGTATCTGTCTCAGCATGGCAGGCCATTATTAGATTTTACCCTGTTATAATATTAATTACATTCTTATCAGTTTATTCATTTCTTCCCCTTGACTTTCTTCTCAAATCCTGCGTTTCTTCACCAACAATACAGAGGCTATGCAATACAGAGACTATGTGGATGTTTCACATCCTCATAGGCTGGGAATTTTCTCCACGCCTAGAACCCTCCGATACCTGTGCCAATGGGTGGACTTGAGCATTCCTGAAGCATACCCCCGCGGGGTTAGATTCACTTAGGGCAAGGGGTCAGCATTCCAGGGATCGAGAGCTTATTGCATTCCTTTCCAAGTCGGGAATGAGGCGATGGTCCCTAGACTAGAACATGGAATGGAGTTCAAGTATTCACCCAGCCTCAGGGGAGTGAAATAGTCTATCCCAGAGTTGAATGTTCCCTCCCACTTTCCCATTCAACCAGTGGATCTTGCACTTAACACACCACTATCTTCCTCGATATCGTCCCATGTTTGCTCCCCCGGTTGCCCACTTCCTATCAAGTGCTACTTCCAGGATCACCACTCCGTACAAGATCCATTCAGAGAAATCGCTTGATCCAACGCGTAATCGCGATCTTCAATGAAGTGGATTATATGTGTGCTTGCTGTGCTCCTGCTCAGCTATCAAGTCGAGGCGCTTCCTCATGGTAAGTTTTACCGTGCCACTTAAGAAAGACAAAAATTCTAAAACCAAAGGAGCTTTTCCCTCTGATGGTGGTTCTGTATGCTGATCTAGTTGATTAACAGAAGGCCGTGATCAGCTGGTAGGCCATGACAAGGCCACTGATCCCGATCCCAACAGTCTCCCGCCGTTGACGCCTATACCTGATCCACAAACCAACGAGCTTTTACCCGGTTTTCCTAGCAACACACGCGTCCCGACTCCCTTCGGTATCGCGTATGCCCCATACAATGGCGATGGTACCTGCAGGTCCCGGGACGGCATTTTTGAAGACATGGAAAAGATGAATAATCATGGCTACGTGCGCATCTACGGCGTCGACTGCGACCAAACCAGGCATGTCGTCGACGCAGCTCGCCAATACGGCATGAAAGTCTTCGCCGGTGTCTACGACCTCCAGGACTTCCCAGACAGCCTCGACCTGATCATCAATGCTGCATCTGGAGACTGGTCCGTGATCCATTCCGTCAGCATCGGCAACGAACTCGTCAACAAAGGCCAAAACCCCCAGGATGTGGTGGACGCCGTCCACACCGCGCGTGCCAAACTCCGTGCCGCCGGCTACCAAGGCCCCGTCGTCATAGTCGACACCTTCTCCATCCTCCTCCGACATCCCGAACTCTGCGAAGCCTCCGATTTCTGTGCGGCCAACTGCCACGCCTTCTTCGACGCCAACCAGGTCCCCGAGAACGCCGGCAATTACGTCCTCCAGCAAGCAAATCGCATCTCAGCCGCAGCCGACGGAAAGCGCACCATGATCACCGAATCAGGCTGGCCTCACAGCGGCCAAGCAAACGGGAATGCCGTCCCCTCCACCCCGAATCAGTTGAAAGCTCTCTGGAGCCTATATGATGCATTCTGGCAGCGGCAGGACGATCTAATCCTTTTCTCCTCCTTCGATGATATGTGGAAAACAGACGGCCCTGGTACCTATGGCGCAGAGAAGTTCTGGGGTATCCTGTTTCGGGGATAGCTTTTTGTCCTAGGTATCCCTTTCTCTGGTCTCCTATGTGCATATCACATCACAAATTTTTCTTGCTTGTTGAGTGTGAAGCGGTGTAGCTCTCTTCGCCTCGCGTTCCTTTCACGTATGCACTTAAACACTTCGGGCTACCTGCGCTGGGCGCGGCTAGCTGGAGTTTTGTCTTCTGCTACCCTTCCTGTCATCTACTTGAGTCATGTGCTGTGCATCATACACGTGCAATTATCCTGTACATAAAAGGATTTATTCCAGCATCGCAGTGAACATGAGCAAAGCTCTGAATCCCATTGAAAATACCTTTGCCTTATGCTATCAGTCTACATATGTGTGAACAGAATAACAAAATCTAATATCTAGCGCTAGGGTATTACTATCTGGTACCAATGCAACCAAGTAATGAGTATGCATGCACACCATACACCCAAAGACCGAAGGGAAGGACAAAAAAGTTTTGCAAAGAACGCAGCGCCATGTCTATGCTTATGCAATGGATCATTCAATTTAATATATATAAAGCATGTCGCCCGATCAACCGATCCAGGTTAATTAAGAGAAACGTTCTGTACGGCCTCTTCAACGCTGACCGGATGTTTCTCATTCGGGACTTCAGGGAGCGTGATTTGACCATCTTGTCCGTCTTGACTTGGGGTTGGAGAGTCCGTTTGTGATTGTCTGCCTCGGCCTGAGCGACGGGTTTTGGGTGGTTCCGGTTTCTGGCCATACTTGTGGGTGGTGTTAGTTTGTTGGATTTGGAGTCGAGATGGACTTGTGACAGGGGTGCAATGGCTGGAGAGATGATGGGGTTGTACTACTGGGAGAGTGGATCGTCTCGGCGGGGGGACGGCTGGTGGAGGGTTTGAGGCCGAGCGACGACCATGAGCCGGGATAGGAGGAGCGAGGCCTGTTGTGCTTGCTGAGTTTCTTCGGTCGGCGGGGTCGTGTGGAATGGATGGTGTTGATGGTGTGACGGGACTTGGGCTTGCGCTTGTACCTGTTTCCGTCCCTGGCTCTTCAACTATCTTATCGGTTTCGTCTCCAACGGTGCGTCTGCCGCGCCAGCGTCTTGCTTTTGGCGGTAGAGGTTTGATCTTTGGTTTGCTGGGACTAGACGGGCGATCTGTTGCTATTATGGTCACTGTTTGCGTATTGTTACGGCTCGGTGTTTTGACACCTGGCTTCTCGTGTTGTGCTGCCACTTCTTGCATACTTAAGGAGGATGATGATGCAGGTTCCAAGTGCATTCCCAGGCGCTGAGCTTGGTTCAGTAATTCTGTCTTGGATGAGCCGTCGAGGTTAGTTGGAGATAAAGTCTCAGGAGAGCTCTCAATTGTGCTAGTCGGGGAGATGGGCTGTGAGGTCTTTTGCTCCAAAAAAGTGCACATCTCAGCCTCAGGATGGGGTCCATCTGAGAGTGGAGGGAAAGGCGCGGTGTTCTCTCCTCCAGGCTCGTTCGAACCTTGACCATTTGACTCTTCGTCTCGCAGCCAGGCTACTGTGGTACACCGAATGACAAGTCTTCTCGTCGTTTCGTCGACGTCGTCGAAATGCATAATCTTCTCGTCATCGATCTCGTTGCTGGAAAGTCGACCCCGGACGAGGATGCTAAGCATTCTTTTCAGTTCGTCTCGCTTGTAATGCGGAGGCATCTTCAATTGTGTATGAGCGAGAAGTGGGTAAAGAACGCGTAGATAAGTATGTCGTAGCGCAGATGCTTCTTCGGGCAAGTCCAGGAGATTGCGGATTAAGATATCAACTAGGACATGCAGATCATTCGTGAAGAAGTACTCAAAGGTCGTGGGAGTTGTGAATATGAGGTACAACAACTTTAAAGTGAGGAGCTGAAGGGAGGTTTCATCTGTGTCTGTTAGAACCTCATCCTGTCATCGCGAAACCCTGAATTATTACTACCTACCTTCTCGATTTATAAGAAGGATGATGTTCTCACCAAATGTCTTATAGAGATTACCATGCATTGAGAGGATTTTGATGACTTTATTTGTCAATGGAGCCGAAGTCTTCTCATCTACGGGGTCGTGTGCTGAGATCATGAACTGCTCGTTTAGAACCAACTGCCAGTTATGAGCATGCTTCTATGAGCAATAGTGTTAGGCGAAACCACAATTCACTCACCAAGACTCGAATAACCGGATAATGATAGGGGTCGCTCGCGTCGTAAGACAGGTCTTCAATGATATTGAACAGACCCTTGATGAATTCATCATCCACAAGAACTACGGACATCACCGCTCGTTAGCTCACGCATCCTTGCAGTGATCGTGGATCTAGTAGGTAAACCTCCGTCTCAACACTATCAGAATCTACTCACCTAGATCCTCTATCTTGATTCTTTGAATCCTCGACATCTCGTAGATCAGATCCATTAAGAGTCGGTGAAGCCCTGATCCATCACCCTCGTTCTCTTTCTTCCTGTTTTGCACCTGAAGGAGTTCTAGCAACCGTGGGAATGTACTCTCTTCATTCATCATGTATAACACGACTTCATTCTGCCGGCCATCGAAGAGAAGGAACGACGTGATTAAGTAAAGTGTATCCGGGTCATCGTCCTATGCGATCTACGGTTAGTGACTGTCTTGAACAAGTACAGAGACCAGGAATAGTAGTGACCGCTAGTGCTTGGAAGACTATACCTGCAATAAACCGTAGATCATCTGTCTTCGAACATAATCTGCATGTGAGGCGAAAATATTCGACGAAAGCAGCTTGTACGAGCATCTCGTAACCTCTAATTCAGTCTGGAGGTATTCATCTGTTGTTATTCTCCAGATATCCTCTTATCAGCCCTTGTCCAACGTTCGATGAGATCATGTTCGCATAACACGCAATGCGCATAAGGAGTCGGATAAGAAAAATAAAGGAAAAAGAGGATCGGACCTTGATACTTCGTCGCTAGATTTAGATACGACCGCAAAGCATGGTCGATGAGGTCTTCGGAGGAGCAAGGGGTGGAAACAATGTCTTGGATCTCTATGCAACGACAAACCAGAAACCGCATAAGTTAGCTTGTTCCCTTATTTGTGAGAGGAAGATAAAAGGCGCATACGACTCTCGTTGAACGCAGGTAGTTATTTTGGCGCAGGTCAAGCGCAGATCCTTATGAAACCACTTACCATCCCAGAACTGTTGCTCATTTTCCAATGAGACCTCAAACTCCATTTCCCACGGCTTGGTCGTCGTCGTCGGGCGTATCGTGACTCTACAATCATCCCGTCTTTGCGCCCGTCGCGAATGACTGTGGGCTCCGTGGAGGGAGGAACGAATTGATTGGGGTTGATGACGTTGGTGATTTGGACGGCGTAAAGGCAAGTGTGGCCAAGTCCCAAGGAAACTAAAAGGCGGGCGGCGGGGGATTTGCGGCAATCCACCGCGTGGCCCAAGGCCTTTGTTTCTTTCATTCTTTCTTATCGATTAATGAAGGGAAAGAAAATTTCTTACACACTCTCTGCAATCATCTTGGTACAAGGGTTGATCGCCTTACATTCTTCTACTGCTGTGGTTTGAATATTAGAGAACAGACAAGAGTCTCTTATCTGGGAAGTGTATAGCCTATATACGCTTGGACTTGCTCCCTGGTATCACAGTAGTCTTTTTACACGGAAAAAAAAGAAATTTTAAGCAGACAAGAAACGAACATTAATATACGGGACGTTTGAAAGGGTGAGCCTCGGTGTTTCTGCGGGGCCCATTCGTTAGCCTTGAAATTTATAGGATCGAGCAGATTCGAAAGAACTTACAGAACGTATTCGTCTAGATCCACCACGTTCGGTTCACTGAAGAGTAAATAGAAGTACTTCAACGTCTCCGCGAGCCAGAATGACTGCATCTCATCAGAGATTTGGGGGTTTTCGACTGTGACGTCCTTGATTGCGGAGTGCGCTATCTCCGTGCGGGTATACTTGGAGATGGCTTCAAACATCTTCCAACCTTTCTCCCGCCAGTATTCTTTGCCAGTGAGGCGGTACATGATGAAGACGGACTCGATGGCCTCGGGTCGGAGGAGATAGATGCGAGAGTTAACACGGACCACGCCGGGTGGAAGGTGCTCGTGCTCGATCCGCGACAGAACAAATTCCTCGTGAGACAGCGTCGAAGATTTCGAAGATTGTGTGGAGTCCCGCCCTTCTACGTCGGCAGTATCACTGGGCTTTGGTGTTTGGCTTGGGCTGGCGATGACGTGCCAGTTGCCTCGCTCGGGATCACGCTTGTTGCGAGGGTTTCTCAGAGCGGAAGAGGTGGCGTTACCTTGGCTTCCTCTCACTTCATCCTTCTTCCCCTCCATCTTTGCGCTAGGCTCCTTTTGCTCTCTCTGCTGCTTGCCTCGAGCAATGCGTTGTTCCTCATGAGGATCTAAAGCCCTCCAATACTCGGTCTCGTTCCACACACATGGTACGTCTGCTTTGCAGGGTAGCATCATAAATTTTTCGGGCATGATACCAGTCTTGGTGGACTCATATGCCCACACACATCCATCGGTTAATTTGGCGGCAATGTCAAGATCACTGTCAATTCCAAATAACTTAGACCCAACGGCAAACATGCCGCCGGCGAAGCAGGTTAGATGCGCCCCCTCATACGCATAAGTTATCTCGGCGTCAGGTCGTGGTTTGATGGCGGTAGCCAAGAATCGGACGTCACGGTCATCCTTGATCATGGGTTGGAAGAGGAGATGCTTTCGCGCCGCGTCCGCGGTTCTTTCATACATTGTACGATATTGTTCGTTGAGACCACCTAGAAGCATGTACTCCTTGGGTAGGTACTCGTACGTTGAATCCCCGGGAGCCGCGAGTCCAAATTGGAGAGATCCCGAGGGATTGGTAAGACCTCCTTTGCAGTACTCGGTGGTTTCTACAGTTGATGTTGGGATTTCATGCGACTTGAGATTTGAGGCCTCTGGAGTTGTGTCATAAATGGCCGGTTGTGCGTCCTCATGAAGCTGGCGTGAAGCTAAGAGTTTCTTATAACTTTCGGCGTCCGTTGGCATGGTCATAGCGCTCTCAATAGGTGTCGGGCTACTCGCTGGAGTTGAGGTGTTCAACGGTACACCACGCGGAACCTCGTGGCCAGACCGGGGTTCAGGAACGGTGCACCCAGAAGCATCTATTTTCATCGGCCATAGGCCGGGAAGGCTGGTTTGACTTTGGAGCTTCTCCAACTCGTTCGTGATCCGTGCGATTGCGTCATAATACTTATCGTTCCTGGTTAGTTGTGCCAAGCGCGTGAATTCCAGAGAAAGCGAGCCTAGTTCAGCAAGGACGGACATCGGACTAGCATGGCGAGGTTTGGATGATTCATCCCTTGATCAGACGTTAGCCATCACGATAAAAGCAACATACACCAACGAAGCGAAACCTACGGCTTCCACTTGTAATAAAGCATCGGCATCCGGTTGGGCGTATCAAAGGCAGCTATTAAGACTTCTGCCAGCTCAACCGCTTTTTCAAGAAGCAAATTATACTTATGTCCTGAGATATCGTAGGCACCCAGCAGCCCACCGAGGTATCGAATCACCGTTTCGAACACAGGGATCTCGCTCTTCTTACTGGTCGTGAAATCAATCTTTTTCACCTGATCTACAGCAATTGAGAATTCCTCCTCCAAGCCCATGATCCAAAGAGTGTCCAAGGTGTCAACGAGCGTTGCCCCCCAACCGTTAAAGGGATCACGAGCTCCACCGCGAAGCGGCAAGACCTCATCGTGACCCATCGCAGATGCCTTGTACCCATTCCACGCATGTTCAAACGCGGCCTTGATGGTGGACAGTCTGTTTAACCGTTTTATCTTATCTTCGGACGCTTCGTCGGAGAATTTAGCCTGTAGTTTAGGAAGAGACTTCGATTTGCCGCTTGGTAGTTTGATTAAGTCCGCAGCTGCGACAGGGTATCGCTCTGGTAGCTTCTTCCAATGAGCCACCGGTATTTCCCCAATATGGTCCACGTTTGGTCCATTTTCCTTTGACTGCGGTTCGTTCGATTGTCTAGGGTGTTCGGGGGCTGATAAATTGTCGGAATCGGGAAGCTGTGATGGAGCCTTCTCATCGGATGTACTAGGATCGGTTGGACCATTTGGGAGAGGGGTCTCCAGAGGAAGTTCTGGTGTAGCAGGTGCAGGTTCCTTGTAATCTGCGGCAGGTGGATTTTGGGGGTATGACGACCCCGGATGATCGACAGGCGGAGGGGCACCCAATGTCACTGTAGGGGGTTCACGAGATCGACTAAAATGAACGAAGGTCAAGACAAATACGGCCGCAAAGATTAGAAGAACCCGATATCGCCGGGCTCGAAGCATGGTAGGCGAAATTGCCTCGGGAAAGGGGAGGGGGGCAATGGGCTGGGGACTCAAAAAAAAAAAAAAAATGAGGGAAAAAAGGAATACAGAAAACCTAAATGAGGAGAAAAAAGAAAGATACAGGGAGTATTAGCAAATTCAATCAAATGGGTAAAAGCAAAGAGAACAATTGTCAGGGTCGAATTCAGGAGATAAAGAAATAGGGCCGGCCAAGAGAGAGAGAAAATATTAGGTCCGAATAAACAAAAAAAATACCAGTAGATTGGATGAATAAAGTGGAGAGCTCCTTCTCTAAATCATAGCAATCATCGCAATAATAGGGACCTGTGGCCTCCCTGCTCGCAATGGGAATCAAGCGTTAGTGAATTGAGAAGACAGAGTGACATTGAGGATGGCAAATCTTCCCAGGCGCAAAAAGACCTAACAGATTGTTAACCAACAGGAGAGAAGGCCAAGAAACGAGTCGCTCGAGCCCCGGGGGGGGTTCGAGATTTGATTGTGGCAGCATTAATGAGAATTGTGAAACATCCAATGCTAACTTCTAGGCTCTAAAGTCGCCCGGTCTATTAATAGAGGGAGTGACGGTACCAGTCACATGGAGAGAGTCGCACAGTTTTGTGCATCTTGTGTCAAGGGTCAGTAAAGATCAGGAGTGTGATGTCGGTACTTGAGTAGGAATCAAATCCCCCGGATCAGCGACCGAAGGATCAGCGGTTCCAGACTCTTCAGACCAATCGGCCAATACTTAGGAGACTAATCTTCCACCTTCTCATGGTGGCATTTCCTGTCAGTATCTCACTTTTGAAATGGGAAGTGGAAGTTCATTCCAGTGCATTGATGAAGCCCAAGTTTGACTGATACTCTTCAGCAAGTACTAATTGGTCCAAGGGAAAGGGTCTTCCCGAACCCTGCAGGGTTCACCGTTTCTATAAATAAATCCGAGACCAGGGGCAGGTCACATACTAATTCTACTTATATAGTTAACTAATCAGTCGGTGTTAGTTAGAGTTTATGCATCCATATATTTATGCAACTTCTACGGGCAGCCCGTAGCCATCCCAAAATACCGTTCCTAATCTGCACCACAGGTATGCCAAGCTGGGTAGCATGTATATACACTCAAATAGACACTCTTCGGCAAGTTATGGAAAGACCTCAAACTTCCATACTGGTCACTTAAAACTAACTAGACGGTGTAGGGGTAGGGAAGCTTATGGGCTTATATTCCAACCGTGGTCCGTCCCCGGTTGTCCTTGCTGACCTTCTGAAATTGCTGGATGAGCCCTAAGACCCCTGCATTCCCAGCAATCTCGTCGACATTCTCTCCTTCTTCCCCCCCACCACTGTCGTCCTCATCCCCCATCAAGTTCATCCGCCAAGACTCCCCCAGGTTGCTGTCGCTGGTGCCGATAGCTCCACCGCTAGATCCCGTTGTCGTATGCGGCGACTTCTTGATGGCAGCTCCGCGAATCTCCGCGGAAGGCGATTCATTGTCATCCTCGATTGGGTCAGTTATGGGCCGCACTGGACGTGAAGATTTAAAGCGTGGATAGGGGGTAGAGCGGCTTGCCGCCCGGAATTCTGATGCCGTCGGCTGGTGATGCGGATCGAGGAGAATGGATGGTGCGGGCGATGCGTGATCACCAAATCCTGCAGCCCCGAAGCCAGGTCCTAACCCTGACTGTTGACCCATTAAACCAGCCCCCGGGCCATATCGTGTTTGTGTTCGGTCGAGCCGGTTGCCGATATTGCCCATTTCAACGGCGGACGGCGACCCCAGCGTTGGAAATGCAGGTGGGGGGTGGAAATGACGCCGAGTGGACGGGTTCCTAGGGCGGCTGCCACTATAGTTATCCAAAAACCCATAGTACGATGCAAGCATTTTGCCATCCTTGGTGGAGAAGTAGTCTGTCCGGAGGTCTTGCTTTCCGGTCTCTCGTCGTCCTGTGCCGCCTTGAGAGATGACGTTAGTGCCCTTTTTGAAATCAAATACCGCAAATGAACAGAGATATCCCATGCCATCCACGTGCACGGTGAATTCTCGGAAGAAGTCAATAAGGCGATCACTGCATTTAGGCAGGTTGAACCAAAGAATGAATGGCGTGAAAATCATGCTCAGGATCTCTTCCAGGAAGATGACGATCTTCATCTGATAAAGCATAGCAAAGTCCTTCCGAACTTCGTCACTATGCAACCGCCCTTTCCAATGGTTCGGGAAATAGTGGGTGAAGTCGATCACTTCAAGAAGTGCGTACTCAGGATCAAAAACATTCGTCTCTTCCGGGACCAAGCCCCTGGCAAAAGCCCATACAGAGCCAAAAACACCCAAGTAGAATAGAACAGTGCGATCATGCGTGATCTCAAAACCCAGGAACAGTTCTGGGTCTACAATCGATACCAAAGCCAATACTGATGCCAAGGCGCCAGAAACAAACGCGACAAAGCCGGCGAGCTGGACGGTTTTGTCCTTGGGAAATTGGTCCACATAGCGGCTGGCAAAAGGATAGGACATGTTGACTCGACGCTCAAATAGATGCCAGAGTTCATTGAACTCGCGGAATTTCCATTCGGCCAAGGGGGTGTACTGCCGGGATCCAATCTGGGATGGGTTCTTCTTGTACTCGTTGAAATAACGGAAGAAATAATGCATCAAGAAGTAAACAACGATAAAAGGGGCTACGAAGATATTCATGATGCCTGCGAAGATGAATCGCCGCCGCAGACCCTCGCTCAAGGCTTTTCGGTGGGTGTCCTTCAGGAACAAGGTTCGCACCTGGCCCTGGTCATTGAAAACATAGTCCATAATGCAGAGATTAATGTTCCATTCTAGCGTCTGTGAAAATAGTTGCCTGTTTCGGAGGAACGGTATTGGGAGAGTCAAATCTAGTATATCCTTGTTCACCAAAGCGATCAGGTAGTTCTCTTTGCGCATCAGTCGATTTGCGATATCGTGAGCATCCATCCGCTGCTTGGATTGACTGCCCATGAACTTCCGATGCCTGGCAGAGACTGCCCCAGCGGTGGCAGGATTTGCGTCCCTAAGAGTCATTAGTCGGCTCACAACCTCCTGCCAGGAGATCGTCTGGATCTCGGCATCAGAGATTCCGAGTAGATAGTAGTAAAAGTCATGCATATGCTTGAGCCTTCTGATATCCATCAAGTACTGAAAAGCCTTTCCAATCCAGAAAACTGTCAGCAGCCAGAGTAACAAGGTCGAAGACATAGACATCTTCTTGGTGCATTGCTGAATGAGTATATCATCCATTTTCCTACTTCCTCGAAAGTTGCGATAATCAATGCAGTTGGTGAGAAAAGTGCTAAATCCCACGACGAATCCAAACGTCCTGCAATTTGTTCAGAATAGCTGTTAGCGTTCATTGCCAAGCGAAGATCGGGGTAAGATCTAGGTAAGAGCGTACAAGAGGCTCAAGACGCGGTTCAGCAATATGGACCAAATCCCATTCCCTAAGAAGTACGTATAAACATCCTTCAGAAAATTATCTAGATTCTCCACGTTGGCCCACAGCCACATGGCTTTCTCTTTAGGATCTACTGTGGCCAGGTTCGGATGCCCCAGCGACCAGATTACCCCGGGACGCTGCCTCTGGTGGCCATTATGGAGAGGGAGTTGTTCTCTAGTGGTGTTCCAACGAACCCGATCCCCCCGTGATGAAGGCCCAGGGGCAGAAGAATGTTCTTGCTCGAGGCGGCGATGGGAAAGAGGAGGGGGGGGAAGCCGAGACTTCATTTCGTCGTCATCATGGTCCCCTTCTACTAACAGGGAGGGAGGCACATCATCATCGCCATCATCGGGGTCATGATGCATCCACCGAGAACGTCCATATTTCCGCCGACGAGAGCTAGTTTTAGCGGAATCTTTGCTAGATATCCTTTGCGGGCTCCGTTGAGTCAGGAACGGCTCGCTCGGGCTCGGGCTCGGGCTTCGTATACCGTCTCTCCTAGCATCGGCCATCGCTTCCTCTAACTCACGGTCACTAAATTGGCTTCTCTGGTCATCTCCAAATGCCAATCCAGCACGCTCCTCAACGTCCGAAGGGTTCGAATCCGCGTCCTGTTGTCGAAGCGTTTCATACACCGACGGTGAGCCGTTCGGAGGGAGGAAACGAGATAAGATGTTCGATGTCATCATGATGGGCTGAATATCTCGCAGCGTTCACCAAATCACATTCGCGTAAGCTACCTACACCGCAGTGCATCGTAACTGCCCTTGAGCAGGGATACAAATGTCAATTAAAGGTCATTCATTAGAAGTGATGATAGTCAGCGGGCGGTCAACTGAACCTAAATACGAATGGGAACTCGGCGCAATCAACCGGCTCTCTTTTACTAGTAGAGCAAAACAAAAGCCATTTAACAGGGAATCAGAGAGGCCTGCCGTGCTAGGTTTGAAGAACAGAAGGATATATATCAAGGCAAAGTGAGACAGGGAAGAGGCGAGTTGACTTTCCAGTGTAGGTGGACGGCTGGCAAGCAGTCCTCGTGATAAGCTATGATGCAGGCGGTCACGCCGATAGCAAACTGAAGCCTGAGGCCTGAAAGTCATGTGAAGGGTGACAAAAAATTCATGTGACTTGGAGTGGGGTTATTCCTTAATCCGGCAGCTGGCAGATAGTTAGTTACAACCCGTGTAACTTAGTTAACTTATAATGGGCTGATGATTACGTACAGCACCCAACGTAACTAACTTAATCAGAAAAGCCAGTCAGGACTCAGGAGTCTTTGACGACACGAGTCAGTTGTCTGTGGGATTTTCTCGGGATGAGCCGCAACTGAACACTGCTCATTGGCCCCTATGGATCATATCCCCAGCAGCTCAGCTTGTTTCCCTTTGATACATGCGGGGGTTCTCTTCTGGAAACACCAGTGGTCGCATGACTTAGGTCGTCGGTGAGCTGTAGCGTCCAGAATATCATTCTAGAATTACCGAAACATGTTCCACAGCAGGGGGCCTAGATAGCAGCAACCTTCGTGCATTGGCGTGATCGTATAACAGATCTTGTCGCCGGTGTTCCTGCATTTGTCGAACATGGGTTTGAGAGACGTACATCTATAGACCGCGATACAAAAATCGGTCCGACAGGGTTTGATTAAGAAGCTTGGGGGAAAAGAAGAAATGACGAAAAGAGGACAAGGGAAGGTATTTCCATCATAATTCATTTCCGGTGTATTTCCGTTCTGAGATCCACATGCACTATACATGTACGTACCTGCTTTACCTAGGTAGATATGATAAGGTAATTTATTTTACACTCCCCTCTTAGGTGCTTTCAGGGATCAACAAGCATCCTTTCCTATTCACGGCAGGTATAACGTAGAACGATAACTCTCAGCCTCTTATTTCTAGTCAATATCTGCTATCTAGATACTTGTCACGGAGAGGAAACGGAGTGGGAAGTGGATTACTTAGGGAAACGAACCCACACGGACCAGTAAGTGAGTCTAGCGCCTCGAAGCTAGTGGATGTTGAGCCCCAATCTCCATCGCGCAATGGCCTGCAGACCACCTGACCTGACCTTCTCCCCAGCCGTACTGTAGGTCATCCTGTAAGACATTCGGGTTATCTCGTTCCACATACTTCGACAAAGGCAGGGTACCATCTAGGAGCATTGATTCCAATATCCGACTAGATACTCAAGGTTTGTCTGTCTTAACATAACAGCCCATAATAAGTTTGCCAGGAAGTCTGGTGAAACAGACCCGTGCGATGGTTATCTTTAGTTGGTCGCCTAGCTTACCGTCCCTGAGGGGAATCAATTCAACTACTCTCTATCGGCATACTTTCGGAGATACTTACTAGGGAGGGGAGTCCAACTAAACCCAGCAGTCGCAGGCTCTTAGGTCTGTGCAGGTCCACTGGACAACATATCGAGGTGCGTATTCATCCCACAGGTCCACCGTAGAGGATATCCTTGTTCACGGTGCAAAGTACGGGTGCTCCTTTGCGCCTCTTGTCAAGTCAGATAGGAGGGAATCGTAAACCGTATCGCAAACCATACATACACCAGTAAGCATCAGAATCCCAATGAATTGGGTTCTCGTTTCACCGGTTGTTTGGTGGTGATTCGATGCCAATGAGTTACGACCATTCTTGGAATCCACTTCAGCGTGGCACTCTTGCCGAGTATCCATCCTGCCCTAGATGGTCGAATCATAGTTCCAGTGGCCATCACGAGAATATGAAGACTAAGTCAGCCAAAAGCCAATAGCGCATTCTACCTGATTCTTACCATATCATTGGCAAACGGTATTATTTTTTTAATTATATATTTTCACATCTCTCTCTCTCTTTCTTATGGTACGATAAAATCGATAAAGTGGGAATACCAAGGAGCATTCAAAAACTCGGAAGAAAGAAAGAAACAATATATGTCCGGGAAAGATTCTTCAGGGTGATTAAATTTTGTTAGGGGTGCTTGGTGGTATGAGTTTTTGTAGAATGATGGGTCCCTTTCTCATATGTTCATCATTATCATCTTATTATTACTGTGACCCATAGTAATAATAATGGTAAAAATAATAGCCTACTATTATTTTATTATTGTCCAGTAAGCAACTCCGTTTCTCCTTACGACGGATTTACCTTCAAATAAGAAATAAGTAGATTGTCAAAATATAATAAATAATAGAGGGACTGATTTCAATGTACAGTTATTTTCATCAGAGAAGTATAATTTTCATTTGGGTTGGTTATTTTAAATTATCTCGAGGGTTTGGGTTTTTAGTCTCCTTTTGTATAACTGTACTTAGTTTAGCAGTAGTATTCTCATTGTATGAGCTGTTTCCCCTCTTTCTCTTCTTTCTCTGCCGTCTGCTCTTGAACCCCAAAGGCCCATGCCCTTAATACCCTCTCTTATGCCTCTGGGGGGTTTCTTGACTTCACCTATTCAATCAAACCTTGGGGAGGTTCAACACCGCCTCCTTCGTAGTACTTTCTCATAATTTTCCCCCTCTCTCATTCTTGAACCTTTTCCTCTCTCACTTTTTTTTTTTTTTTTTTCTCTCTCTTTTAGTATTATTGTTATTCTTAATCCCTTGAAACTATTGCTTCTCACTGACTTTGCATCAATTGATTGACAAGTGGGCACGCTTCACTTGCATGATGAGAGAGAGAGAGATCTGCAGCATTTCAGTACTACTACAGCCGCTGTTAGGGTAAAACAAACAAATTCAATCAATCAATCAATCAATCAACCACAAAATTGGATTGCCACCAGAGAATTTGACAAGATCAACTACCAAAAATAAATTTCAGTTTTCCGAGAGGAATCAATTCTTCTACGGATGAAAGTATGTAATTATTTTCTGTTCTATTTCTTTTCTTTTTCTTCTATTTTATTTTATTTCCCCCCCTTATGTTCTTAAGCTTTTCCTTTTTCCCCATGATATCACGCTACCGGTTGGTTTGGTTGAACCCATCTCTGCCGCCAACCGATAGTTGACCTTAATTCCTACTTGCTGCTACCACTACCACTTTTCTCCAGTTTCCCTCTCTCCGGGCTAACGTAACCGACTATGCTTCCCACTAACAGCGACTTCGTGCCGGTATACTGACACTCGGAGGACTGGTCGCTCACTACTACTATTGTTAACCTTCTTTTTTTCCCTATTAGATTTTTTTAACCCTCTCTAACTTTTATCCCACTCCGCACTTCCCTTCCTGTTATCGACCCTTTTTTCTTGAATTTTACACACTCCTCACTTGCTCCCTCCTCCTTCGCCCGCCGCCCCTGAACCCAACCGGCCGTTCGGGGGTCGTGTCAGTTCTCGGTTCCCCTCATATTTCGCCCATCGCCTAGATTTCTAAACGCGCCGGCCTCGACCGAATGTGCGACTCGACTTGTCGACCTCTTCCCGGACTCCATGCGTTCAGCTCGTGACCCATTGGATGACAGAGACCCTCCATTGTTCGAGGACGGTTGCGCAGCGTACGTTGGATGCCGACGTCTGCAAGGTAACATTTTCTGCCGAGTATATGTGTACATGTGTGTGCGTGTGCCCGTCTGCGTCCTGCGTGTTTTGTAGCGACCGCTCTTGAGAGTGCCGCTGCTGTCCGATTTTCATCGTGCGTTTCCGAACAAGATGGAGTCCGAAGGTTCAAATGGACCCAAACGGAACTCCATACATCAAGGTTTTTACAGTCGCCCCGTGGAACGGCGTGCAAGCAAAAAATCGTCCTCCAGGGACCGGCATGGCATGGTTTACCCCGAAAGCTTCAGAGATACAGGCATCCGTACGGTAACGCCAGACTCGGCCGCTGAGACCGCAAACCATTCTCCTCTGTCGGACGCGGAGCACCTCTCTTCAAGCGCAGCCCCGTCGCCTCGTATGACCGCCAGAACAAGACCCTCCAATTTAGACACTCGCCGCGACTTCCAACCCTATCATCCGCCGGGCGACGAAGAAGAGCTCCAAGTGGAATCTAAGAACCAACGGGCGCGATCTCGGACCACCACCCTGGAGGATCAGCGCAGTGAGCTCTCCCCGAATTCATTTTTTCTCAAGTCGCGGAGCCGGTTAGGCTCCGTCAATGCCGCAACTCCTCAGTCAAGGCACTCAGACGAACCAACTGGCTCGATCGGCTATCCATCAATACAATCACCTACCTATCTGAGCCAAACCCTCGGGCGTCATCGGGTCAGTCGAGCCTCGGGGAGCTCAAGCTTCCTGGCGAGTGTCGCTTCCAATCCGCCTCCTTCACCTTTGTCGAGTACCGATTCTGCGAAGATTTTGCAGTTAATGAAGACCACATGCGGGAGAATGCATGGCATCCTTTCCTTCCGCACCGCCTCCACCACCGCTTGGACGTCCGGCTACTGCGCCATCAATGTTGCTACAGGAAGTTTAATTTACCAGGCCAAGGGGGAGCCTGCGTTAGCTAAGACGTTGATTCCGGACCTTCGTGGCTGTCAGGTCCGCTCCCTTGTCGACCCGGAGCTTCGGACAAATTATCTCAGTGTATCCACGTTTACCTCGGGGCTTGGAGTGGAATTAAGGCCTCACGTAAGCGAAACGTTCGATTCATGGCTCGCAGCCTTGCTTTGCTGGCAGCCGATCCGGCCCAAAGGCGTTCAGAATAAGATGACCAAACCCCAATCGGTTGCGATAGGCGATCGTCGACTTGCCGACCGTAGAAGAAACTCCGAAAGCACGGTTCAGAAGGAGGCAGCCATTATCAAAGTGGGTAAAATGCTCCTATGGGATAGGCCGAATGCCTCAGGTCCACGGCCTTCGTCTGGTCGCCGAGTGTCAACATATCGCCAGCAACGCGCGCTCTCCTCAGCCTGGCAAAGAGTCAGCTGCACGCTGCAGGAAAACGGCGTTTTCAAACTCTTCACCGAATCTGATATCACTTTTGTCAGCTGCATCCAATTATCTCAGCTTTCCCGCTGTGCTGTGCAACGGTTAAACTCGTCCGTTTTAGAAGACGAGTTCTGTATCGCCATATATCCGCAATATGCGGCTCACTCAGTGTCGGGGTTGACGCGTCCAGTGTATCTAGCCCTCGAAAGTCGGGTGCTATTTGAAGTATGGTTCGTTCTTTTGCGCGCCTTCACAATCCCAGAACTATACGGCCCTGAAACGTCGATCGAAGACAATCCGGTGAAGTCTCCAGGGTCCGATGCTGCCGCAGCCTCTATTGCGGACATGTTCCGGATTGAGAGGATGCTCTCCGTGAGAGTGACCGAAGCAAAGTTATTCCGTGGCAGGTCGGCCGAGGAGGCCCCTCGAAGTCGCAAGCAGTCCCGCTCTCATAGCAATTCGACCCCAACGGGCGCCGTGAACGATTATTATACCGACATCTTGCTCGACGGCGAGATTAGAGCCAAAACTGCCGTCAAATACCGCACGGCGAACCCTTTTTGGCGAGAAGATTTTACTTTTAACGACCTCCCACCGGTCTTGTCTCAAGTTTCGATACTCATCAAGACCCCCAATCCAACCCAAAAGGACTGGTCGCTCATTTCACATGGATCGTATGCCTTGAGCCAGGATACCTACCCCATGCGCGTGTTGGATGATGTCGAGATATCCTCTCATGACGCAACCTTCGGGAGGGTAGAACTTCGACTGGATGACTTGGAGCCGGGCGTGGAGATTGAGAAGTGGTGGCCGACCCTAGATGATCGAGACCAACCCGTAGGCGAAATGCTGATGAGAGCTCGGATGGAGGAAACTGTCGTTCTCATGTCTCATGAATACACTCCAATGTCCGAGCTTCTCCATTCCTTCACCAACGGACTTACTATCAACATGGGCCAGATTCTATCTTCTGAACTTACGCTTCTCTCCGAGGCATTGTTGAACATATTTCAGGTGTCAGGGACCACCGTGGAGTGGATATCAGCCTTGGTGGAAGATGAGATTGATGGACTTCACAAGGAGTCCACCGCAAACCGGCTTAGATATACTACGAGGATCCATTCCAATGATACAAGAGAATCCGGACAGGATAGAGAAGTCCTCGTAAGGGATTTGGGGCGAACCGCAACCGTGGAGGCCAATCTCCTTTTCCGAGGGAACTCCCTCCTCACAAAGGCGCTAGACTACCATATGCGTAGACTGGGAAAGGAATATCTTGAAGAAACGATCGGGGAGCGCCTACGTGATATAGACGAGAGTGATCCCGAATGTGAAGTTGATCCTTCTCGCGTGCACCGTTCGGATGACCTGGAACGCAATTGGAGGAATCTGATCTCCCTCACTACCAGCGTCTGGAAATCGATCTCGGGCTCCGCATCGCGATGCCCTGCCGAGCTGAGACTTATATTTCGACATGTCAGGGCATGTGCGGAAGATCGTTACGGCGATTTTCTCCGCACTGTCACCTATAGTAGCGTCTCGGGCTTTTTGTTTCTGCGATTCTTTTGTCCGGCAATCCTTAACCCGAAGCTCTTTGGATTGCTCAAAGGTATATGATTCGTCGTCTCCTGCCTCTATCTTCCCTGTTTGTTCTACTCTTTAGGCTAACGCAACATAGACCATCCTCGCCCTCGAGCCCAACGCACTTTGACCCTGATTGCGAAAGCTTTACAAGGATTGGCCAACATGACTACATTCGGAAGCAAGGAGCCTTGGATGGAGCCCATGAACAAGTTCCTGGTTGGTAATCGTGCCGAATTCAAGCAATTCGTGGATTCGATTTGTGCGATACCCGCCGACCGACCAACTCCAATCGTCACTCCTTCTTATGCGACTCCAATTCAAATCCTCGGCCGTTTGCCTCCCACATCACGAGAAGGGTTTCCCAGCCTTCCTTACTTAATAGACCACCCACGAAGCTTTGCGACTTTAATACGGATATGGCTCGAAGTAGCACCTGAGAGGCTGCATGATGCGGGGGATCTCGACCCGGCGATCAAGAAATTCCATGAAATGGCGCTTCACCTCGACCGGCGAACCAAGGAATGTTTGAGTAAGGCTGAACAAGCCGAGCGCCCAAGCGGAGACCTTGAGGTCAAGTGGGAAGAACTAGTCGATTCTATGGAACGGTCGGCCACTTTCTATGAGGAGAGCTCCAAACCCACTACCCCGGCCACTGAGACGGCAATTGCGGGATCTGCGACTGTTGCTGGAAGTCACCGAAACTCAATCGGTTACTTTGCTTCACGGCCTTCCCTCCCTCGCCGGTCTACTGACTATGCCGCCGACGGCGATGATGACACCCCTCCAAGCTCTTCGTCGGCTACATGGGACCAAAGCCGCGTGCCCTTCTCTATACCGCGATGGTCCGACACCCGTGAGAGCACCGGCAGTTCCAAGAATTCTTCTACATACTCTCTTGAATATCCTGACTCGTCCAAACCTCGGAGGTCCAGTATAACCAGAGAGACGACGAGTAAGTACCGTTTTTTCGATTTCGTTCCCGCTACCTCTAGACGCCGAGCCAAGGATCGAGATCATGCTCAGCAACATTCTCGTGAAGAACTCCGAAACGAGTTTTGACGGAATCTGACGACAGCCTTGACTATTTTCCTTGGCTACCTCATCTATATATCATTCTTGCATATCTACACTTCATGACACCGATACATGGCGGCATGGTTGTTGCATGCGATTACCTTAACCTTTTTGCTTTCTAGCTCCCCTTATAGGGGTTGCCGATTCTCTTTCATTTGGATTGCGTTTTGACTTCGGTTTGGGCGACCGTGGAGGCTGAAATGATCGCTCATTAAAAATTTAGCAGGCGGCAACGGTTTTGTATAACACGGCGGATCTGTGCGAACAAATCCCTGCATCTTCTGGTGTACATTCTTCCTTTTCCCCTACACATGTGCTCATGACTTGACGCGTTTCCCTTCTACTTCTCCCGATTTTTGGAAAGCATTTGTCATGGTGTTGATACCCTGCTCTGATTGCTGTTTTTGACGTGGGAAGCAAGAGATCCTACGAGCAACGTTGGATGTGATATACCATTGTCCTGGGTTGCTGTGAATGGCAAGGGTCTTGCTAAACCGGGATGTTGCAAAAAAAAAACAGTGTCTCGATTTGTGTAAATAGTGTTTTCTCCCTTCGTTTTTTCTTCATATTCTTTTGGCATAGATGAAATGAATATCCAATTTACGTGGATAGACCACTACTCCTGTTGGATAACATCTTTTGGGTTATGAATGAATGGCTTATGATATTGAACCTGCGTCCGGTATAATTGTTCACCCCCAGAGAGTCTAGCATAATGAACGAAAAAGCCAACATCATGATACAGATAAATCCGGGTTGTTCGAGGATAGATAAAAGCAACGAAGAATATAAATACAGGCAGACAAACGCTCACGGGATAGCTTTTCACATCCACAAACAGATCTTTCCACTAGCCGTGCCAGCGGCTATCCAATTCTTGCTCCTATGGAAGACTGCAACGGCAGGAACGGCAGTAATGCCATCGCCTCCAAGTTGCGCCAGCTGGTCACCCGAACTACTGTAAACGTCGACGAAGCGATTCATATTTCCGACGCAGAATCGTTGGATATGCGATTGGGGATTTAGTTGCCACTGAGGACGGAGACTGTAGAGAGTTGAGTTAGTCTTCACTTTGATCCTATGATCATTATCTTTGGGTAGGGGTCATACATGGTAACCCATCGTCCAGTTTGACAGTTATGCCGTACCACCGTATCAGGCTTCATTTCTTGGTCTGAAAGGGTATGCCCTGGCTTCCAGGAAGCAATACCTTTAGCACCAAAGTCGTACAACTTCAAGCTATCGTCGTAAGATGAGGTCGCAACCTGACCAGCGCTGTTGAACGCCGCATGAGAAACTGACAATCGACTCTGGTGTTCCCCCACAGGAACAGGGTCACGATGTGATAGCTTTCGGATGTCCCAAAGTCGCATAGTGCGATCCAAACTAGCTGTCGCAAAGTAGTGCGAGTGCGCCGGGAAGAGCGAGAAGCCGCCTATCTTCTTCTCGGATAAGCGCCAGACGGCTACTGAATCTGTCTTAGGTGTACGTATATCATATCGACCAAACTCCCCCTCCAAGGTAGTCCAATAGAGAGTGTTGGGATCATCGACAGCCATATCCAAACCAGACAGCGGAACATCCTCTGACGTGGAATCTGGGGCGTACCGTTCCACGGATGTTGTCTTCTCCAGGTCCATTTCTCGGATGGAGCCGTCGTAACTAGCTGTATAAAGGTAGGTAGGTTTGGAAGGATGAATCGCCATGGAGCTTATCGTGCGGGTATGTGGTTTCAAAGTGGTCAGGACGGGGTCTGGGTCGTCGTCTTCGTCATCGTCCTCCTCCTTCTTAGTTGAGGTTGGCTTTTCCTGTGATGCATCCAGGACACCGAGATGACCCATCTTGTCTCCAGCAAAGATCAATGGCTTCGTCTCCGAAGGGTGGAACGTCATGGTGTACACTCGCTCAGGGGTGAGCTTGATTCCTATAGCACCATTAGCCTATTAGGTCCAATGATTATGCGGCACGCGTGTATCGTACGGTTAGGCTCCCAAGGCTCCCACAGCTGCAAGTCACTCATTTCCTTCCTCAATGCTTTTAATTCTTTATCCGTGGTCTTTTTAATGTCATCATCGCCAAACGTCCGTTGGTAAGGCATCGCAACGCCCTTCGTGACAACATCGACACCGAGCAGGCCATCTCCGCTAAGCTTTTGCCCCGAAACAAAAATATCATTCAGCGAAAAAGAGTCTGACTTCCGTACCCTCTTCGCCCTCTCCGCCTCCTGGAACGCATTTTGCTCCTCTGATTTCCGCTTCGCCACCTCGCTTTCCGCCGCGATACCCCTCAGTCGTGAGGACATACGCCGCGGTGCAGGCGACTCCTCTTCCTTCTTTGGTTTCTTTGGGATCGCCTTTTTCTTCGACTTTGCTTGGTCCCCCGTTGAGCGATTTGGCATCTTCGGCGGGAAAAGGCCGGAGGACTGCGCATTCAGCGATAACTTCTTGAGCAGCGCATCGCGCTCTGCGATATTCGCGAGACGCTGCTTTTCGAATTCAGAGATCTCTTCGCTACCCATGGTGTAATGCTGGATATCTCTATATTGGGGCTGTGCGCCGTGCTATCGCAGTTTCGTCCGAAATTCCAAAGTAGTACTTTTCGCCTGCGCGGAGAAAGTCAGAAACGCGTTCAGCGGCACCGCGTAGTCACGTGCATCTTAACAGTCTAGATTGGATTCCATGCCGGAGCTGCAGATATCAAATATCAGCAAAAAAAACCTCTAGCGTTACTACCTACCTCACTCAACTGATAGACTCAGTGGCAGGCTGGTTCTGCAGAAAAGATTATATATATACTACCTGACAAGTATGCCGAAGTCTCTTCGTATCTTACAATAGAGTTCTTCGTCGGTTTTTTTTTTTTTCTCTCTCTCTTTGATACTTTGTTCTCGCAGTCCAGAACGATGAGTAGCCACATTCATCGCACTTTACTAGCAGTGACAACACGCAATTCTCTTGCTCCATTCCTTTACCAGACTCGCACCCTCTCCGGTTCTATCCCTCGTTCATTGAGATGCCGCCCACAGGCATACTCTACCTCGAGCATTAGCAGTCCCGAGGACAATTCGCAAACTGAATCCCTCAAGTCTTCTCAGAATGACAGCGGCGCAGATACGCCATTGGTCTCCCAGCATCAGACTGAGCATGAAAATGCGCCCACGCCACGACGCAGCTTTTTGCAACAACAGGCCGGCGCGGTTTCGAAGCATCGTCCTAGCCCCCCGAAACCGAAGCCTCTGACCATGACCCGCGGCGAAAAGCAAGTGTTTAGCGATTTGTTGGAGCAGTTGGGAGCTGTCAATTCAGATACAACAACTGCCACAGCAACCGAGACGCGAAAACCGGAGTTGAGCGAAGCTGATAAGAACGAGATGGCGCAGATCTCGGACATTTTCGACGAGGTGCTTAGGGACTTGAAGAAAAAGAAAACGCGGACAGCGGTTGCGAAGGATTCCAGGGGTCGTTCATCGGAGGATACACAAGTTCATGTCACAGTTCAGGATCCGGAGTTGCAAAAGAGACTCCGGAAGTCTAAGTACACTAGTGCGGACATTTCGGAGCTGTTGGATAGCAATCAGATATCTACAGGGCAGGCGATTGAGTTGGTTGTTAAGAAAGAGGCTGAAAAGATCGAGGGCGCCCTCCGGACAGCTATTGACGAGGGTAAAGGGGATACGGGGGTGTGGGATGTTTGCAAAGAGAGGATATTCTCCATGCTGCAACACCTCGGAGATACCCGTTTGGCTCAAGCTATTGACATGAGTCAAGATAATAAGCAAACTGCGGATTCTCTTTCTACCGCCGCGGATACTTCTTATCTGGAGGTGCCCTCGTCCGTCCCAATGGAACCCGTTGTCACCACGCTCTACCCCAGGATGCTCCTCGTGGCTTTCCGTCTTCTCAACTTGCACTTCCCGAATTCTCCTCTTATCAGCCAATTCCGAACCACGATAAGGTCCCATGGCCGCGCCTCTGCTGTTCTCGGCAGCTCGACGGGACTTTACAATGAGCTGATCTACTTCTACTGGCGCGGGTGCCACGACATCCCCGGGGTAGTTTCTCTTCTGCAGGAGATGGAGGTGAACGGTGTAGAGCCCAACAATCGCACGTGCGGGCTGTTAACCGGAATTGTCAACCAGCGGGACCGGGACTTGAAGAAACATCGGCAAAGCAAGCAAAACGAGAAGCCAGGTTCGCAGCGTGAGCCATGGTGGGATCTGGCGCCGAACCGAAAAGCTGTACGCGAATTGCTCGGGCCTCAGGGATGGATGCATCGGCTGGAGCTGCGAGTGCAGGAGAAAGCCCGGATTGATAGACGGTCCAAATAATACGGTTTCCTAACTGATGGGGAATCTCGACAATACTGTATATTTATTAAGACAAGCACATAACAGAGACATAGAACCACCCAGCCAAGACCAGATGTAATAATAGTACAATTTATCCAGACACGTCCGTTAAGTTTAAATCTTCAACCCCCAACTCCGTCCCAGCCCTATAGCTGTCGACCCCATAAACCCTAAACACTGCTTGAACCCGGTCAGCTTCTCCCCGACAGCCTTGCTATCCTCCACCCGCCGATCAACGAACGCTTCCGTCTCCGAGAGCCCAGGACTCTGATCCCGAGTCATCACCACCTCCGACGACGCATAGATAGCCGCAACAGACATCCGCTTCGTATACCAAGACGCATCAACCGAGGCATCGCCCGCAAGCGTCAAGATCTCCGACGAAAGCGCATGCAACTCCGACAACGAGAGAGGAATATTACCGGCAAGAGACATGAGCGCCAAAGCCTAAGCATCACAGTCGATTGTCAATCAGCGCAATCCTCAAACCGGCCACCAATGGGCTAAACAATAAATAATAATGGAAAAGGTAATTGATAAAAGAAAATGGGGAGAAAAAGCACCTACATCCTGCCACTGGTGTTTAATATCGGTATTCATCTTCAACCTCTCCATAATCAACAGCTTGGTCTTGTCCTCAACCGACAGGTTCTTCCCGGCCTTCACCCGCTCATCCTTCTCGAAGAGGCCGTCCTCAACGCTTGCGCGCAACAGGCCGCGTCGACTCGCTAGCCAGAACAGAACGAGGTCGAACTCGCCGCGCGGGAACAACTGCACCGAGACGTCTAGGAAGCCGCTATCGCGGGCGCCGAGGGTTAGGGCGTTGCGGGTGAAGCCGTGGGTCGGGACGTGGCGGAGGGCGGCGGAGAGGATGGTTGTTTGGGAGTTTGTGTATTCGTGCGCCGGGGGATCTGGGTGGTATTCGGAGTGGTAGCGTCGTCTGGTCGGGGTTGCAAAGGAGAATGTGGGATGCGTTGCTCTTGTAGGGCGGCATTGGCGGGATTGATGGTGGAGTTGGCGGTTGCATCGGGGGAATATTGAGCGGGTGGTGCGGAGGGAGGTCAGTTGGCGCTTGGAGGTTGACAGGGCCGCTTGATAGCGGGTTAAATGGAAGGGTTGAGCCATGGTTGTCGAGATTGGGTTAATTGCAATGGGTGGGTTTTCGAGATAAGAGGTTTTTGATGTCGCGGCTTAATGACTTAGGAAATTCTGTTGGATTTTCTCGGGTGGGCTTAAGCGGTGGCCTGAGCGGAGCCAAGATTGGAATTGACTGGACGTCAGATGATGTACGCAGGGGAGCTTGTGGTGCTTTCTGGAGGTCCCGGGGTTATGGTAGGGTTATTTGATTTGATTTTTTCTGAGATCAGTTAGTGAGTCGTTCAGGGCGGTGAGGTACTCTTGATCAGTTGGTTGAAGGGTGTTGTTGGTGTTGTATATATGTGTAGAGTAGGTAAGCGTGTGTTTATGTTCATGGAAGTATATTCGACTGGACCTATTTATTGACTGGTTGAGACCCGAAATTCCCCCAATGCGCGTAGATTTCCACAGGGCTGCTCCTAGTCAATATATTGCTAAATTAATTAGTTGTATACGATAGACAGGCTTCCTATATTTATTCGAGACATCGAAGCCAAGCTACTGTATGTACATGATCCGGTCATGGACGGTAGATAGTTAATTTCCTAATTGGGAGCATCCTCCCTATCGGATCTGATCTGAGTACCTTCAATGTATATCTTGTATGAAGATAGCTCGGGCTTAAGAAAACAATTAGATTAATAGATAAATCGAGAGAAACAGAGAGAGGATATATAAAATGTAGAACACAATAATAGGAATGACTTTGATACTGCGTTATTTAGGTCGTATTTATTGCGGCTGTTATACATAACTTGACCCCAACCATGGATGACGGGCGACACATTGAGAGCACGAAATAAAACAATAGGATGAAATCAGCGGAAGATCCAGAATCAAATTGATTCTTCTGGATGACGGATAAATTGCATATATAGGGGACGATGTTGGACGCATGATTACGGTGGTTTTGTGCCTGCCGCCTTCCATAATAATACCGGTAAGTCTCTTTCTCTCTGTTCCACCTCCCATTCTCTTATTTCCCCGTCCATTTCCCCCAGTGATTGCCCGCCCCCCGCGTGGAAGTAACGTTGATTGATTTGTCTGCGGGAGGGAATCCAAAGGCAATTTCCCAAGGAAATTCCAAAAAGAAAGGCCAACTTCATCCCTGTCCATATTACAACCGTCGACCAAGCTCTGCGGACCTTCTCCGTTGCGCTCTCCAATCGATTGTTATTATTTAATTTCTTTTTTCCCTTTGCTCTGTTCCCCCTTCTCCTTCTCATCATTTTAATTTGCTCCGAAATCTGTTTGGAGCGTCGCCTATTCAGCATCTCCAGCGACAACAGTCCAGACCTTCAAACAACATCTCTCCTCCATTCTCCTTCCCCATCTCCCTCTTGATTGCAGCATCACAGACCGTCATGGGTGGGTGACTTAATCCTCTTTGCTTCTCTTTTGCGGTTTCTTCCCCTCCCTTTTATATGTATTTTTATTTTCTTTTCTAGATTTGATATATTGCTTATCTGCATGAATCCCATGAGTGGTTGCGTTTCTATTCGTTTTATGTGATTTTATTTTTTTTATTGTTTTATCATTATCATTCCTTGGACTACACCTCTATCCGTCATGTCTCTGATTTCCCATTGTTTACATTCCCTCCTTTCTCCCTGATTTGATAGGGATACTTTGGTTTCTAGAAGCCAATTGTTCCCTGTTCCAACAGGACTGACACCTGCCACATATCTCGCTCCTCTTCTCCCCTCCTTGTCTCTTGGCCTACATCTCTCTCATCACTGGATTCCCACTACTGTAGGAACCGGCCGTTCCTTTTGACTTTGTGCCTCCCCCCCCCTCCTCCTCCTATGCCGTGCCTTGGACTAGTAGCCTTACTCTCTCCACCCATCACCGTTGACCCCCTCCCATCCCGGTCCTTAACCTGGCTACTCGGAGGCCAAAAAGAAGGGTCAGTTCATTTAAACCTCTTCTGACTTTTTGGACCCAAATCCATCCACCGGGTAGGAAGGCGTGCATTTCGGATTCCCACGGGAAGGCCAATCATACCGTCTCCTGCTTTCATCCTGTCCTCCCCGTCCCGACTGAATGTCTGACAAACTCGACTGAAGTGGACGGGCGCATTCATTCCCATTCATTGCTTTCCTCCTTGCCCTATTTGTTTTGGTTTTCTTTCTTTTTTTTTTTTTTTACTTTGCTTTTTCGTCTTTATTTTCTAATTTTTTTCCCTTCCACACCCCGCCGTTACCCTCCTTAACTCTCTTCCCTTTCTCCCTCTCTTATTGTTCCCCCATTCCAATTTCCCCTCGTCGCTGGTATTTCTTTACCTTCTTGCTTCTACTTCCGAAGGATCAAACGTGTCGCTTACATCCAAGGCTTAATCTCCAGCTGACGTTTATCGACCATATCAAGTAAGTTGTTTTCACAGTTCGTCTTGTCCCTGTATCTTTCTTCTGGGTCGTCGTATTTCTCAATGATATCTTGCCATAAACCCTTCGATTTGCTCTTGCTCTATATTATCATGCTGTCTCCTTGATGCGCGATGTTTACTCCTCTCAAGAAAGCACACCTTATCTCTGCGGGTTGGGGGGATTGATCATGGCTGGCTGAGGGTTCCAAGTATACGATCTGTTTTAGGATGTGGATGTTTTAGGCCCACTGTCTGGAACACCTACTTCTTTATCTTTTTTTTTCCTTTTCCACCTTAATATGTTTCATTCTTCCTTTTTCTCATCAGTTTTCTTTTTTTTTTTGCTTTGTTTTCACTCCTTCTCTTTTCTTTCCCCCCTTTTTTTTCCTGCTCTCCAAACCACACAATGAGAGCCAACCTGGTGGCAGTGCATTAGCTTCACGTCTTGAAGGAACTCACTCCCCACTTGTCCTCCGGGTCCTCCATTTCTTGCTCCATTTGCTTTGTTAAGCGCCCGGTCCCCGGCCACGTCACCTGACCTGGCTTCTCCTCTCCCGGACTTCAATGGTGTGAACGCGGCAGCCTTCAGTCCCAAGGTATCGGATCACCAATTGTAACCCTGGAAAGCCACCGCGCAGATCTCCTCCATTCACTCTTCGTCATCCATTTTTGAACCCCATCCTTGTTCCGTTTCCTTCCTTCCTTTCTTTCTTCTTCTTTTTTTTTTTTTTTTTTGGGAGTTGATTGAACGGGGGAAAAAGTCGAAGT